AAGAGCGGCCCACGATGCATCGGGTTGTCCAGTTGCTCGAATCCGAGGTCATGACCCCTTGCCCCAGCGATTTCTACGATTCCAACTCCGATTGATCGTATAAATTGCCATTTTAGAACCCCGAAAGAGGGGTTTTTTCCGTTTTCGGGGAAATTCTCGATTCTGATTTGGCTCTTCAAGGATTTTTCGGGAGGGTGATGATGATGATGCCTCAAGAGCTGTACCATTTCCCAGCGATGGAGTGAAGTCGTAGATGCCAATTTCTTCTTCCCCGAGTTTTCAAGCCATTCATTTCGGGCTCTTTCTTCTTTTTCTTTTTTTTTTGTTTTTCTGTGTTGAATTGGCTCTGAAATTGGCAAAAGTCTTCATTTTGAATATTATGATATTAAATGTATATGACGTTTCTTTGTAGAAAAATTTGCTCTCCCTCCCTCCTGTATATCTTCTGATCTGAATAATCCATTGTTCCTTTGTCTCTTCTGCATCTTCATCATCATCATCCACTGCCATGCCCATGTAACAGAAAATCTCAGGATTCAATCTCTTCAAGATTCGATTTTGATGACGATTCTAATATCATTCACATCCAAATAATCATGGGTTTTACAAATTTGACAAAAAAAAAGGTGATTCGAGACATGTTTTGCATCAAAGTAGAATCTCATTTCCCTAGAAAATTACACAAGACAGACACAAACACACAGTAGCAGACTCACCAACAAGAAGATACACAATTTCTCTCACAAAAGATCATATTCACTTGGAGACATGTATATGTAGATGTAAAATATACATACATACATATATATGTGTGTGTGTGTGTGTGAGAGAGAGAGAAAGATTATTGCATGGGATTTGCTTCCATGAGTTTACTTGCTGGTGCTTTGTCTTGTTTCTCGACGTAAGCTGAAGGGAACCATCCGGCTTTTCCCTTGCATTCTCCTTCCGACCATCCATTATTAGCCACCTTGTTTTTTTCATACAGAACATCAAACAGACAAGAAACTGTTAATCGCTTCATGCTTATAACCACAAAAAGAGGAAAGAGACATACCTGATGCACGATGACGTAATCATCAACAGCAAGGCTGATTTCCCCATCAGCTTGGGCATCAAATGGGTGCACAACCTGTTATGCAACAAGAATTTTTCAATTCCTTTTGAGTTTTGACAACGTTATTTATTCCTCCAATTTCTTGTTCGGAGAGCGCGTGATTCTACCCGAGGACGGGGGAGAAGAATGCCAACAAGCGATGTATCGGGATTAGGGTTCTCAAAAAGGCTTTACCTTTGCAAGAAAGATGGAATCTTTCTGCTTGACAGGTTGATGATCATGATTATGATGATGAGACCCATTTGATTTGGTTTCCTCTTCATGATGGGCATCAGTAACATTCTCTATGGAGAGTGACTGAGGTGATGATTCTGTAGCTTCCTCCTCAGTAACCATCTGAACAATAATAGGAAATGCAAGACCTAAGTGACAGGTATATATAGTTACATGCATGTATTATATATAGCTAGTTTCATACCTCGGTATAGAGTTTGTCAAGGATATCAAGAACGTGACGATGGTAAGTTCTCTCAGCTTCAACCTGCACCAAGAGTAGTTCTATTTCAACTTTAAACATAAAAGAAGGACCAACCTAGTTCGTATCCCTATCTAGTGGGGGTGTTGGGAAAGGGAATATACTAGGCCGCCTTACCCCTACATTTTATGTAGAGAGACGGATTCGAACCCGCGACCTCAGACCCCACGGTAAATGGTTTTACCGCTGAACCAAGTTTAAACATATCGAAATAATTTTTTTTTAAAAGAAAACTGTACAAAAAACAACTGCCTATATATGAAGAGAACTATTTACCAGAGCAAGTAGCCGTTGATAGGTTGAGTTCTGCTGCTGATTCTCGACTTCCAACATGGCAGTGGTGGCTTCTTTTCCAAGTGCCTTCATACCGGTTTTGAGCTCTGTCAATCTCGATTCAGCATTCTTGAGTTTCATGTAACTTTCTTCAGAAACATCAGATTCCTTCAACTTTGATCTCCGTTTCATTACATCGGCTGCCTGTTAAAAGGGTTCATCCACAGTGAAAATATGTCCAAGAATTCCTAAACCCGAAAAGCAAAAAAAAAAGGTAATAAGATTTTTTACCTGTGCTTCAACTTCTTGACGTAATCTGTCATAGCGGTGGACTAAATGCCGAGCATCCTCCAGAGGGGCACTATATATCATCGTGCGAATTGGCTCACAAACCTAAACAGTCAAATCCGGTAATGGCAAACCGATAAAAATTCCACATTTTTTCTTCCACCCATGAAATATTTCTGACTGTAAATCGCTTCTACAGACCCTTCTATGACATTTTTTTACCCGTCAATGCTTAAAGTATAAGTAACTAAAATACCAAAATTTACCTGATCGCCAAGAAACCCGAGAAGAGTTTCCCTCTCGTCTTCCGCTGATTTGTACGAGTTGCCAAAGTGAAGAGCAACTCTCGAAAGAGGGGTATTCGCTTTTTGATTCTCATCTCCATATTTCTTACAATCCTCAGCCAACTTCCTCCCTATACATCCGAGAAGGCGGTTTAGTTTTATCACAACATCATAGAAAATATGAAAAAGGATGAATTAAAAGAACAAAAACTCACCAATCTCGAGTAGTTTTGTGCTCGTTGTAATAAAACCTTCGAGTCCACGGACAATGTTCCTTTGCAAACGCTGTAAGAGGAAGAAGACAAACCTCCTCCTTCGGTAAATTTCTCAGACCAAAACAATATAACAAGAAGCACGAGATTTTCCCGAGAAAATCTCAGAAAGAGAGTTTCTTTATACCTTTGCTGCTTTAGTAGAAGTGTACAGATCTTGGAGTTTCTGATGGCAATGAAGCTCTTCTTCATCAACAACAGCAGCATCAGCAGTAACATGCCCCAAATGCTTCAAAACCGCCTGCACCATTAACACAAATCAATTGCAGAAACAGCTAAGGTTTCATCTTTCTCTGACCCAAAACATAATCATTCGATATTAAAAACTATGAAATCTCCAAAACTTTTTCCCCTTTCTGAATCTGTAAGGGAAGGGAAAACAAGCCAAGTCAATGTTTTGATATGAATAACTATCCCTTATGTCAGCAAATGACATCAAAACCTCAAAAGCTCCACTTTTTAATGATAAAAGCAGACAAATACACACCGAGTGCGATCACATACTGAGTCTCAATCAAAAACTTTCCAGCATTTTCTCAGAAACCAAACAGAAATTCAGACAACAGAATCCACAAAATCGTCATCTCGATTGAAAGCCCAAAACACTGAATCAAAGAAAAACACGAGAAAGAAGAACAGGAAGAACCCACTTGCTGTTGCCTCGCGACTTGCTCTCTGAACTTCGCCGCCTGCTTTCTTATGGCTTCCATGGCGGAGGAACGAAACCGAACCCAAAAACCCAAACTCACTGTTTCCTCGTTTCAGAGAGTGATTTCTTCGGTCGAAACCCACAGATAGAGGAAGAAAGCGACGGATTCGAAAAGGGTAGGTGAATTTTTCTCAGGTAGACGAATCCGCGAAGACGAAGAAGAGAGAAAATCGAACTTTCGCCATGGATCCTTCGCCTTTACAGGTAACATAAAAGGAAAGAGGAAACGACAAAGGAATTATTAAGAGAGAAGAGTTGAATCATAATTCTTCACCAGTTTAACAGTTTCTATACGAGCGGAGCGGTCTTAATAACCTTCATTTTAATTTTTGATTTAACGGCCTTAATCTGATTTTAATTATTTAATTAAGAGACTAAAATAATGGATGCTCACTCTCTGTCTTTGTCGAAGGACCGTCGTCAAATCCTTTTTCGTTGGACTTCCAAAAATGTAATCTCTATTTTCAACAAAGATATTATTTTAAAGACAATTATCCTTCCATTTATAATTATATCATAAGAAAACTTCAAAAACAATATAATTAAAATTATTATTTTGTCTGGTCGGTTTGGCTTCACTTTATCGTCTTTTTACGTTTGATTTTATCATTGGATCAGGTATGTTTTCTTTGAACCTTTCCCAATATTAAAAAATGTTTTATTGATTTAAACCATAACCTCAGAAAATTCGGAAATTCAACTTAGATTTAAACCCGATATTATAATTTAATAATCATAAATAACCATTTTTATTTGTTAAAAAAAGAAAAGAAAATCACACACTCCGAGAGCAATCCATGGGCTGAAACGACACCGTTCTGGCCTCCAAGTCGTAGCCGACAAGGAAATCCATCTGAGCTAAGTTTCCGAAAATGGCAACATCAGTGGTCGGAATCATACTCAGGCAAACCAAGTCGTCCCTCACTCTGACGAACGCGTTCATCGGACTCAGCCTCACGTCGGCGCCCGTGAAATGCACGATTATCTCCGGCAAACCGATCTCGGCTTCTCCTGATCTGAAGCAATGCGTCAAAAGCCCTTCCGGGTCACTCACTGGCTTGGCTCCGGTCACGGAATCTTCCACCACCGATCCGAATTTGTCGTAGAAACCCGAGTCGAGGAGCGTAAGTGTTGTGCCCGAGTCGATGATTATGTTTCCCGCCTGCGAGATTTCGTCGTCGCCGTTGAGGTTGTAAGAAGCTCCGGTGTACGGAATTCTCGTCTTTCCGACTGTGATGGCTTCGAGGGTCAGGTAGTAGTACGTGTTGGGAGCTTTATCGATCAATGGAGTCGCTACAACTGGAGGGTCGTTGTCGGAATTTAGGGTTACGGAGTTGGTTCCGAGGTTTATGACGCTTGTCCCGTTCGCGGTAGATGACGTGTGTGACAAGCAATACGAGAATTTCTTCCCAATGGTGGAGCCGAGTTGGGAAACCAGGGATAATGGGCCGCCGCCGAGGCCGATGATCCCAGAACCAGTCTCGTCAAACGTGCCGCCATTGCTGTAGCCGCAGCCGAAGACAATTCCAGGGAAAGAAACAGGTGACGAAGAAGAAGCAACGGCAATGGTTTCAGTGGCAATATCTCCTCTGGTGAATGACTGGTCGCCATAGCTGTAACGATACTTGCAGACGTTGCCCGAAATATCACATCCTCGTTCGGTTATGTCCAAAGCGTGGCAAACGTGCGAACCACAAGGCTCGTTCTTGTACGTGGATGATTTCGTCTTGTCGAAGATTTTACCTGTTTGCCTGTAACATTGCTGACAAGGACGGCATTGCACCCATGTAAGGTCACTGCCTGTGTCAGCAATGGCGAGGACCTTTAGTGGAGGAGTACCCAGTGAGATACTCATGAAATACTCGCCACCTTCAGCGAGTAAACCGGATTTGAGATCGGTTTTGGAAGAGAATGGAGCTTTAGGGTTCTTGAAATGTCTGGAACGGGAGACAGAACGGCGAAAAGCTGCTTTCAGGCGGTCTGAAATGGTGTCGAGGGAATTGTAGAGTGGAGAACGTGGAGAATCGCGGTGGATGAGCTCGATGGTTAGGTTAGGGCGAGAGGATGAAGTGAAAAGGAATAAGGAAATGGTCTGTAAGAGAAAGCAGAGGAGGAATCTGGTCGCCATTGTTGATTGCAGAAGCTTTTGTGGTGAAAAGATGGTGAAGCTTGGGGGAGTTTATAAACGGCGAGAATGGTGAAGCGAATCGACTGAAACGGCAGGGAGTTGAAGACGTGGATGAATTGGTTTTCAGTCATTGACATTAATAGCTCTGATAATCAATAATTAACAGAGAGATCGTGGAGATGTGGGGGTTTCAAATTTAAATCCAATTCTGTGGTTATGAAAAGAATGAGATTATGCATTAACTCAACTCGAATGCTAATTCATGGATTATAATTTGATTTCGATTCATCAAAGCATATTGCATGTGAATTTCGCTTTTGTATCAACCGAAATGACAGTGAAAAACAACTGAAACAATCAAAGTTTGAATATTATATATAAGATCATAATATTTTTTGTTATCTATCATATAAAAAAACATATACTTGCATTAGGAAAGTACATTGATTTACGAACCCTAATCATCAAAATCAAATCTTGCGGAAGTCTGCTTGGCCATTTTGATGATTTCTGCAGCTTCTCTTCGCATCCTCTGCTGCTCTTTGATTGCTTTCTTCAGCGTTTTCCTCTGATCTTCCACCGATAATGTGCCTATATCAGACAAGAATTCATCAAAGTCCACAGCTTTATCACGATTCGAGTAAGCACTGAATGATCTGCTGTTCTTCTTCAACATGGTCTTGCTGTTGGATGTTTTGTTTGGAGAACGTAACATGCACCCGATGGCTTTAGACGGCGATAACAACAAATTCAGCCACGATTTTGATGATGATTTCGGCTTCGGTCTTTGTTCTCGATCTGGATCGATTGATGATGATGAAGCTGTTTCAATGGAGGATGAAGCTGACTCGATTCTGGATTTTCCCTTGAGAAGTTTCCCTGTTTGTTTGGCTGCCGAGAAAATTTTGCTCTCTTTCGAGGAATCCGACGAACTCGAACCGATTTTCCCGGAATCTGAAAAATCCCCACTACCATCCGAAGTAAGCCCAGGTCGAGAATCCTTCTTCAAACCCGGATTGCGTTTGTTTCCCGACAAAATCCGAGATTTCTCGTCAGAAGAGCTCAGTGAACCACTGGCAGCACGCGAATTCTTCGTATCACAAAATTTACCACCTGGATTCCGTTCGTTTCTCGAGAAAACCCTCTCTTCATCGCCAGACGAGGGAGAAGAAAACGACCCACCTCCCCGCTTCCTCACCGGGTAATTCACCGCGCTTTTCGAGTGATAGAACTGCTTCTTCTTCCTCTTCGACGATGAAGATTCCGGGTCGGGTGGAGGACCCGGCATGGATTTGAGGCGACGGAATCGGGTCTCGAGGTCATCGGGAAGAACAGAGTCGGTGAGACCAGAACAGTTTATGGCGGCGACCTGCTCAAGAACAGAGAGCTCCTTAGCCTGCGAAATCAGATCCTCCACAGCTGAATCGTCTGTATCGGACAGAAACCCAAAATCCGCCATTGTTGGCGAGACTTTTTCCTGAATCAGAAGATTAAAATTTCTAGGGTTTTTCGCTTCGGAGGAAAGGGGGAGGGTGAAATTCGCTGCAACGGCTAATTCATACTTTTGTCGTTGCCGCGTGGCTGAGGTTCATGACCTCTGTAAGGTGGGCCCCAATAAATTCGTGATGTTTCCATTTTAATTAATTATTAAAAATCTGTAAATTTTAGATTTTATTAGATTTGGTTAACGCTTAAATGGACCAAGAAAAAATAGTCTTGGAGGTTTTTAACATTGTAATTGTAAAGTTTTGGGGAATATGAATTTCAAAAAATCATTTTCGACAATTTCCTGGTTTTCTTTATTTCAGTGGAAAATATTATTTTTTCAGTGAAAAAGAAACAAATTATTTAAATAAAAATATTATTGGTTGGCCGTGGTCAAGGGTTGAAAAGGGCCATCGTTGTTTTATCATTATTCAAACTTTTAAATTATTATTAATTCACACATCAAAACGGCTAATTGTGACAGACGGGAACAAATAATTGTCTGATTCGGAAAGTAAAGTGAATACACTATTTATATGGATGGAGGAATCTTATACAAATTGAACGATAGATAAAAATAATAATAATAATAATAATGATACAGTATCCATATAGATTATTAGCCTTTTATACTATTGGATGCAAATAAAAATTTAATTAACTGAAATTGAGAAGAAACATCTCTATACGTGCAATAGAATTGTGGGAGAGGGTGGAAGTTTCGATATTGTTCTTCGAAATCGAACCGTATCGAATAAAAAAAATATGATCTTTTTTTTAATTAAACCATTTAAAATTTTCGAACCGTATTTTTTTAGATTTTTAAAATCGAGCTGGATCGAATTTTAAAAAATCTGAAAAACCAATTTTTCTAATAAAAATATGAATCGAACCGAATATGATATAATAATCGAGTGATATATATTTTTATAAAACGAAAAGAATCAAACCATCCAAACCTGAACCCAAAACCCAATACCAAAACGTGATGTATAACATTGTAATTTTTCTATTTCTCTCTCTATGATTGGATATCATGTATTTTTTTTGGACCAAATATCGTCATAATATCCATATGCTATATTATATTATATTTTAAAAAAAAATGTAACGAAATGAAATGAGATCAACTTGGGTTTTGAGAAAGTGGAGCAGGAAGTGGTGCTATGACAATTTGATAAATCATGATATAATTTCATAATAATAATAAAAATGCAAATTTGCAGACATCACACTCGTTGCCCCACTCCAACGACTCCTTTAATTTTCATAAAAGAAAAAAACAACAACAAAAAATAAATATATATTAAAAAAATAATCTCCTCATCCTTCAAGCAACCCCACGAATATTTAATTTTGGGTTTGAAGAAATTTCACCAATTGAGAAATATAATTTTCACAAAATCCAATTTAGTGATTAGACACTCAATAAAAAATGCACTCTCTCATCTCATGTTGGGGATTTGGTTTATATATATGGATGGCACCAAATCCAGACAATTTATTTTACCAGTTGCAAAAATAGCTAAATAATAATAATGATTTTTCGGATTAGAAATTATCCAATTTTAATTGGTCAGAAGAGGCAACGAAAGCTACAAAATCGGCAACATGGATAATGTTATAACCAAAAAAAAAAAAAACAATTTTAGTAGAGTAGTTAGGGCAGTTGAAGAAAGAATGTCTTCACTCTTTCTCTGCTGCTCTTTGATTGCTTTCTTCAGCGTTTTCCTCTGATCTTCCACCGATAATGTGCCTATATCAGACAAGAATTCATCAAAGTCCACAGCTTTATCACGATTCGAGTAAGCACTGAATGATCTGCTGTTCTTCTTCAACATGGTCTTGCTGTTGGATGTTTTGTTTGGAGAACGTAACATGCACCCGATGGCTTTAGACGGCGATAACAACAAATTCAGCCACGATTTTGATGATGATTTCGGCTTCGGTCTTTGTTCTCGATCTGGATCGATTGATGATGATGAAGCTGTTTCAATGGAGGATGAAGCTGACTCGATTCTGGATTTTCCCTTGAGAAGTTTCCCTGTTTGTTTGGCTGCCGAGAAAATTTTGCTCTCTTTCGAGGAATCCGACGAACTCGAACCGATTTTCCCGGAATCTGAAAAATCCCCACTACCATCCGAAGTAAGCCCAGGTCGAGAATCCTTCTTCAAACCCGGATTGCGTTTTCGTTATTTTCGGTTCTGATTTATATTGGCATGAAATAGAATGTATTAAATCCTTGCATTTGTTATAAATTTAGCATAAACTTCCATGATATTATAATATGTCACAGTCCAATTAGGTTGAATTGGCTAAACTCCATGTATGTATCATTTAAATTTTAGTTCCTCCTAAATCTGAATCGAATTCGAAAAAATTGCACGAGATTTCGTCTATATCGTTTCTAATAATTCCCAGAATATCTATATGTACGATATGATAGATACGCACATACATATATATATATATATGTGTGTGTGTGTACAGAAGACGTGTAAGAAACAAATACAACAGGTAACTATATGAAGGGACAACGTCGTAGTTTATTTTCTTTATTTAGTACAAGATAAGTTAGCTTTATTTCACAATGAAAATCTTGGTTTACCGTTTATCAAAGTATCAAACTATATATCGACCCCACTTCAGACAAATTAATTAAAAGTTATCTCAATAATCTATATATATATATATATATACATATATCACACATTAAATATACACTAAGCAAACCGATTGATTGATTATTCTGATGATGATGCAGCTTCCCTATATAGAATATGAATATTTCCACGATGATAATAACCAAACCCAAGAACCATACTTTATTATCTCAATATGCATATAATATATACATATATATATGTATGTATATATGACCTCCCAGTACTCTCCTAGAACCAGAACAGCAAAACTCAAAACACACACACAAAAACCAAATCAATTCTCTCCAAAATGAGAGACCCTTCATCAACCACCAAATCATCACCATTATGGAAACCCTTCACGTCAAACTGCTGTTCGGTTGACGACCAGACCGTGTTCGGCAACCTTAGCCGCTGTCGTCCATCCAAATCGGAGTTCTCCAAGAACCTCGGACCCCTGCCCTCTTTCCGGCGACTCTCCTTTGCCGATCTCAGCCGTTCATCTTCGGCCAGGATCAACGAGGATCTCGCCCATTCCCTCGGACCCGAATCCGACCTCTTGGATTTTCAGCTCTGCGAATTGAAGCTGATAACGCAGAATTTCTCAAGGAATTATCTGTTGGGAGAAGGAGGGTTCGGAAAAGTGTACAAAGGCTTTGTCGATGAGAATCTCAGACAAGGTTTGAAGTCTCAGGCTGTTGCTGTTAAGCTCTTGGACATTGAAGGTCTTCAAGGTCATCGCGAATGGCTTGTAAGAATAATTCCCTCTCTAATTTCCGCATGCATGCATGTCTTTTTGGTTATGCATTTGGATTTTTTTTAAAAAATTAAATTTATGTATCGTTATATTATATAATATAATATGATATAATATAATTATACTCGGATGAAAAATTAAGAAGAAAGTGAAAACGAAGACTCAGCAGTCAACCACTGCATCATCATAGAGCTCCTTCGACTCTCTTCATTTAATTATCTTTTTACATTAATTTGTATAATATGATGCAAGTTTTTATTGTTTTAGGAACTGTGATTTGTGTTTTATTGTTACCTAACACGTGAAAGAACCTTTTTTTTTATGCAGAAAATCCATATATAGTTGGTAAGAAATTTTTTTAAGCCAAATAATTAACCGATATATATATATATATATATATAACCTTATTTGTATCAAACCCCCTTTTTTTAACCAGAATTGATATTCGAGATTTCAGTTCGATTTTTTTTTTGTTTCGGATTTTTTCATTTATTTATTTAGTTTTTATATTATTTGAAATCGTTTTTTTCAAAATAATTTTACATTCAACATATGAAATTGGGCGTGCAGGCTGAGGTCATACTGCTCGGACAGCTGAGGCACCCGAATCTGGTCAAGCTGATCGGGTACTGCTGCGAGGACGAGGAACGAGTCCTTGTCTACGAGTTCATGCCACGTGGCAGCTTGGAAAATCACCTCTTCAAACGTACCATCAATAAATAAATAAAATATTTTATAACCTAACCAACCAATCAAAGTCTATAATGATAATAATCTTTATAATGAATAGGGATATCGATAACGCTGCCGTGGGCGACGCGTTTGAAGATCGCGATCGCGGCGGCGAAAGGCCTGGCCTTCCTGCACGACTTGGACAGCCCAATCATTTACCGGGATTTTAAAACGTCCAATATCCTTATCGATTCGGTATTATACAATATATTTATTCTTTTTTTTTTCCCTAAAAAAAATAGTTTATTTATTGATATGAAAAATTACGTGATATGATGACTCGTTCTCTTTTTTTGTAGGATTTTACGGCGAAACTGTCGGATTTTGGACTGGCGAAGATGGGTCCAGAGGGATCGAAATCACACGTCACGACTCGGGTCATGGGTACTTATGGTTATGCTGCTCCCGAATACGTTTCCACCGGTTCGTTCTTTTTTTTAAAAAAAAAAAATTCTTTTTTGTAACCGGCTCGTATTATTTCATTTAGAAACATTTATGTTCTTTTAAAAAAACTATATAAAAATCATTAGAGATATTAGAGGATGATTTTAATTATTTTGGATTTAGAAAACTATAATCATTCCATTTGATTCATCTTTAGTTTTTTTCGATAAAAAACTCATCTGATTTTTTTGGATATTTTTTACTTATGGTTCACGATTCGGTTTAAAAAAATTATAATTATCCGGTTTTTATTATAGAATTTGAATTCATTATTCGGTTCGGGTTGGTTCGACCGATACTACAATTTTGATTTTACCTGTGATCTCATTGCAATGCAAACAAATTATCGGAATTATTATTTTTTGTTTAAATTAAATTGATCAGTCAACTAATCTGTTTACCGTTTTCTGAAAGGGCATCTAACGACGAAGAGCGACGTGTACAGCTACGGCGTCGTTTTACTGGAGCTGCTAACGGGAAGGAGAGCCACCGAGAAATCACGCCCCAAGAACGAACAGAACATCGTCGACTGGTCAAAACCCTACCTGACGAGCAGCCGCCGCCTCCGCTGCATCATGGATCCGAGACTCTCCGGTCAATACTCCGTCAAGGCCGCCAAGGAGATGGCTCTTCTCGCCCTCCGATGCGTTAGCCCTAACCCTAAGGACCGCCCCAGGATGCCGGCGATCGTCGAGTCGCTCCGAGATCTCCAGCACCTCAAGGACATGGCCGTTTCCTCCGGCCACTGGTCTCCGTCTCCGGCGAAATCCGTCGGATCTAGGGTTTCTCCGAAGGTTAGGGGCGGCAGCTGCCGGAAATCGTTGCCCGTTTCGGTCAAATCGTAAAATTAGGGTTTGGTTTTTGGGGGCGAATTAAAGTGAAGCCGCGCGTGGTATTTATGTGTAAATAAACTCCATATATAATTATATATATATATATATATGCGTGGGATTAGGAGGATGTTGACAACTTGATATATAGTATAAAGTTTTATAAAATGATGTGACGGGTTCGTGTTATAATGATTAGATATACGAAAACAATCTAATAATCTGAAGAGAAACCACTTTCTTGGAATGCAAGTAATCATGTAAATCGAATTCTATTATTTTTGCTATATTTCATTTTTTTAAAAAATATATAGATAAGCCCTTTTATATCCACAAGTTGAGAGGACCTCGCATTTTAAATATAAAATGCATCCACATGAATAGAGGAGAGGACCATAAAAAAAAAGCATGAAATAATATCTTCTTATTCAATAACTGAATATTCGTATACTCTCACTAAGATGAAACAAAAACTAGTCTATAGAAAGAAACACCAAAAAGACATGAACGAATATGTATTGTTCGGACAAATCTGAGGCTGGTTTCCTCTGTCTTTACCGTTTTTCCTTACCATCACATTCTCTCCACAACTCATTCACTGCCACTTCCTCTATTCTCGGGTAATCTCGAACTCGGCCCCGATGGGTAAATGATCGCTTGGGTGATGGAAATTCGGTAAGAAACCGAGGATATCGGGGGATTCGGGCTCGGGTAGCTCGAGAATACTTACAGGCTTGATGAAATCGGAAGGCGTGAAGAAGATGTAATCAAGTGTGTCTGTGAAGTCAGGTGTGCAGTTTGTGAATGGAGGTTCTCCTCTTGTCACTGCATTCATACTGCACAGAGGAATCGGAGCTTCTTCTTCTTCTTCCTCAGAATTTACCGGCTCCATTGCAGAGACATTGCCCGAGACAAGGTACTGGTAAACCTGAAAAGGACGGAAAAAGGGTTGTGATTTTTATCGAAAAGCAAGAATCTTTCTCCAATCCTAAACCCTGCATAGAGATTCTAGAACAATATCAAACTGATATAGTCGGATTTACTAATACGGACTAAACGAGTGATTCACTTCGAAAGGAGAAGCATAGGGTCAAAAGACTCAAAACCTTATCCCCGGGCGTTGAATTAAAGTCGCCAGCCAGTAGCAATGACGGAGTGCATTCATATTTATCCGATACCATTTCCTTGAACCGAGCTAACCGAGATAAGAGATAACTGGCCTGAGCTAGCTTGACATCAGCCCATTCTGGATCCCTAGAGCAGTAGACAACGTTAGAAAACAACATTAATAATTGAAACGGAAGATGAACAACATTAGTTTAAGCATATGGTAATAATGATAATCTATAATGGGTACCAGTAAAGATGTGTGTTTGCCACGATAACGATATGATGAAACGGTTCTTTGATCCTGAATGCAGCCATTAGCCCAACACAGTCGCGTTTCAGTCTCACTCTCGGATCGTTAGGGTCACCACGGTCTTGAAGCTTACCTGTTTGTAAGAACATACCGAGAAAATTTGGATGAAGAAATCAAAACAAGGGAATGATTTTCCCTGAAAAGACAGAGTACCGTTCTTCTCTTTCTCAGTGTCTATTGTTTCACCGGCTGTCTCATTTTTCTTCTGCCAACTGGTAGGAATGCTTTCCTCTTTTATTGAATCCACAAGATCGTTATATTCTATCCGTTCTTCGGTAACCAATTCTGCGCTAAATCCAACGAACAGCATCATACAATTAGATTTACACTTTCAATATGGTTGGTTCATCACATTATTTCATCGGTTATCATTTAGTATATCGTTTTAAGAGCATTATATTATAGTCAAAAAAGGATTTGATAGTACCAGCTATCCTTGTAAAAGATTGCACAACCGTCACGTTTATTCCCACTCCTCTGAATATAAATGCCAGAATAGCCCTGCGACTCCATGTTTCTTTTGTAAAAGCTATCATATTCATCTACTTCCTGCAAAATTTCACGACAGAAATCATCAACTGAATGGGAGTGCCGGCAATGTGCATGAACACACACAAGCAAGAAGCTATGAATAAACTATAACATACATGCATGCGTCTAAGATTGTCTAAGCCGGAACAAAAAACACACACATGTACATGTTCAAAAAAAAAATTATTAGGAGCCATTAAGCGTGCAAGGTAAATCCATAATCCAATATGAGATTTCACATGAACGAGAGAGAATGGAGATTATGATGGAAAAGGCATTCTAGATTCCAAGAAACTAAGGGGAGAAGGAAAGTGAAAGAGGGTACCTGAAGGCACAGGAAATCGGCTTTAAGATTTCTGAGAACGGTGAGAATGGCCTGTGAACGAGCTTTCCACCTGAGGCAAAGCAAATACACCAACAACAAAAATTGCAATTTTCATTCGGTTTCTAAACTGTTTAATCCAGTAGTGCCAAAGAAACACAGCATAACCGTAATCGCCAACTGTATATCTTAAAGGAATAGAGAGATTATTTACTTGAGACAAGCTGATGGAGAGTGAGGGAAGAAGGAGCTTTTCACATAAACCTAAAAAGATTGGTGAAAGGAAATCTCGCACGGTTCAGACTCACTTAAATGGAAAAAGGAACAACGGGGAAATCTTGAGAACACCCTCCAATGGAAGTTATGGAGGCCAAAACCAATGCATGCATACACACTGATAGTTTATAACTTGAACATTCAAAACTTTATAGGAGTACTATTACCTGAGCTAATATGTTATAAGAGACAAGGCGGAATCTGATGCCTGCAAATACCCATTTCCATTAAGACACCAAACTCAGGATTCACATCATTCTTGGTACCAGTAAATCACATTATATTATACTTGAGAGAGAGAGAGAGAGAGAGAGAGAGAGAGAGAGAGAGCACCATCAGGTTTACTTCGGGCATGAATATCAGCCCCTTCTACAGATATAAAGTTGGGAGATTTTGGTTCCACAGGCTTCGTGCTCATTCTCGCCGACAGAATCCTCCTGCAAATACGGACACTGATAACCGGAGATTAGACAGAATATACATAACCTAATCCAAATTTTATTACCGAAATGATGGATTGCAATAGTCACTAGGTTAGGTCCGGATGCAATTTCCTATACAGATGGAACATTAACAGCTTGTTCTGTTGAAGCCGTCGCTGTGAATTACCCATAAAGTTCAAATAATGACACGGGGAAATCCAATCAAATACAGATGGAACACAACTCCTTGTCGGAGAAAACGAAAAGACGGGCAATTTCTCGCCAACCAAACAGATTTCTCCTGGGAACGAAAATACCCATCTCCAAAATGTCGAAACGAATTGCTCTACGACTGCATTGGAGATTCGGATAGGCAAAAAAAAACCCCTAGATTCGAGCGAAAAAACTCACCTGCTGAGAGTGGAGCTCAACCCTATATTTTTGAAAGTGACCGTTCTGCAGCATTCAGTACCAGCGATTTCCATTCCCAAGACCTCCATGAAGTTTCTTCCCACGCTCTTCGTTTTGAAGCCTATGAACTTCCGAAACCCGCAATTCCGTCAGTGCCACAACCTGTTTCTCTTGCTGCATCGACCGAGCTTGTGCCAGTACGAGAAGGAAGGTGAGACAGAAGCTTCGACATTCGGTGGAAGATCCCCTTTCCGAAGTCCTGCAGCACTTACCCCAAGTGTGAGTTGTGTACCGTATTTACTTTTATACCCCTCTTCATTTCTCATGTAATTTACCTCTATACCCCTCTTCCACATATTCTACACCGTGATGATATACGTATTTACCTTTATACCCCTTTTCCGTTTTAGTGGTTTACTCGGTTTTAGATTCGGGTTTGGTTATTTCGATTTTAGAAAAATTATATCTTCGGTTTTGAATAGAATTTGATTTGGTTCGATTTAATTTGATTATATTTGGTTAAGGTTTGATTCGATTTTAATTTTTATTTGCAAAAATACTCATTTTTTTAAATAAATTTTCAGATATTTGTTATCTTTGGATTCGATTTTTTTGGTTTAAAAAAACAATAACCATTTGTATTTTATTTTAGATTCAATTTGGTTACGATTATGAGTTATTCGATTCGATTATTGGATTATTAACCAAACGTTTGATTTGCAATGTATATAACTTGTATCTAAAGTAATCTCATACATTTACATGGCCACAGAATTCTGAAAAGTCTCCCCCTTTGGATAAAAGGAGGAACCTTTCCTCTTTCAAGTTTCAACCCTCTCTACTCATCCACCATACCCTCTTCTTCTACTAGAAGTGTCACTACTCACCGAGCTTATACCTTCTCTGGCTTTGTTCAGAGTGTCTTCTTGCAAGATTCCTCCCATCCTAGATACTATGCTCAACCCCAAGTTTGCAAGATTCCGTGAATATGCCTCTAGAATCGCTTGACCGATATCCTGAAATCGTTAAAAAGGAAACTCTCTATGAATAAATATCGTGATTTAATCTTAAAGTGTAAAACTTGTGGGATTTGTAATGAGAAGATACGTCCATGACAAAAACTGGAGCAGTGGTCAGTGAAAATCTCCTCACCCTTGCCATACTGAATCTTGGTGGCGTCGAGAAATGACTGAGGCAGGTTTAGGTATTTGGCTTTAATCCGATCTCTCAGGGCCTCTGCACGGTTCGAGCGTAATCCGATCTCAGACAATGGGTCCTCAATGAACGACCAAGATTTTCGGACAGGGGATTATCAATCCTTGTTTGGTCTGTAATCCTCTCTCTCCATGCAAAAACAGCAGCTTCTAACCTATTAACAGTCTCATGTGCATCATCTTCCGTTCCCAACTTGAGGGAACAGAGAATGTCTTCTATCCAGGTGGATTCCATGGCCAACTTCCTGTAAAGTTCATCACCTAGGCTTGTCTTTCCATACTGAGAAGAAATCCACAGAAGTGAAAATCTGCTTAAAACTCACCATCCATAAATGTTGGGAGTATATAAATATACACAGGGATTATACTGTAAGTATATATCAGTTACCTTGGGTATTGTATCCTTAACAATGGTGGGCACTGACATTTCGAGGAGAACGTTTTCGTTTATATATTTTCCGGCTTTCATGACTTGATAAACGATCTTGCCCTTCTCAAGCAATACCTTCCTTCCTGAACCAGAGAGCCAGAGTTTTGGAACCTGTGGCAATGGAAGCCACCATCTTTTGCTTTCCCTTGTACTCTTGTTCTTTCCTCTGCCCTATGAAACCCATCGAGAAAATGCGTGAAAATCTGCAAAGCTGCTGGTTCACCCTAAGAAGCAAGAAGACGACGCCAAATATAATTTGAATTTCATAAGCACCCACCTCCATCCGTACGATTACGTGTATATACACACATATATATATACACTATATCTCAGATAGCCGAGAGAATTTAGAGAAAGAGTGATCAATCGGAGAAGAAGAAGCAGAGAAATGGGGTTGGATTGGACAAAGGAGAGAGAGTTTAGACAATAAGATTTGAAAATAGAGAGAGGGCTAACATGACATGAGCCGTAGGATTTTCTGCACAAAGGGTTGATTTGACAAAAGATAAAATGAAGACCCAAAACCCAAACGTTAATTAAATAAAATACACAATAACATAATAATAATAAAAACCCAATATCCCTAATTAGCCTACGTCATGGATGAAGTTTTCAAAATTCTAAAATAAAAAACTTTGCAATCAAAATTTTATAAATTTAGAAAAACTAATAAACTACAAAAACCAAAAATTCCATGTTTTTGGATTTACAAATACTATTAAAAATCAAAACCAAAACCTAAAATCCAAAATACAAACACTAATTGCCAAAAATCTCCGGAGAGCTCTTGTTCCAGTAGAATGGATCAGTCATCCTCCTCCATAGGAACTTGGGGTATGTCAAACCTGTCTTCTTCAATAGGCTTGTTGACTACAGAAACTGTAGAATGCCAAAGAAAGTTCCAGTTAAGGAGAAAACACAGAGACTGAAAACGAACCGACTATACAGTGATCACCCGAAAAATTAATCGAAACCAGCGGCGAGTTTTAAGAGAAAAGGGATATGACCTGTGGGCACGGTATCAACTTCTTTCTCTCCCCGGTTTCTGCTGTTCTCGAGCTCCCTCTCAATTCCCGGGGTCACCTGCCATGGTTGGGAGGTAAAGAATAAAACCCCCGATAACGATAACAAGATTCGGAAAACATGAGTCATGAGCTTGTGTCAGTAAGCAGCCTTACAAGTCTGTGGTATTGCTTCTCAAGTAAAGCTTGGAGGTTTTCCTTGTCTTCCTTCTGCAGTTCATGCTTATACCTGCAGGTTAGTTTAGGGTAAGCTGATGGTATAAAAGAGATAAATTCCTTATTATTATTACTCAGAGTGGACACACTATAAAACCTGATAAAACCACATTCTGCTTCAACCTTCTTACATCACATAATATTCAGATCCCTGGTGTTAACAGAGGTAAATGCCAAGTCCAGGGCCAAAAATGAAGAGATACTATAGTCGGAAAATGCAGTTACCGTTGCACAAAGGCAAGGAGAGACTGGTGCCAAATTACGGGCATAGCTCTCACGTCGTCAAGAAACCTCATGAAGTTGGCAACCACAGCATCAAGAACCCGATAAGGCAAAGCATATTTCTTCTCCAAAAGAACTTTTATAAAGTAACTGCATCAAATTCCCAAAACAGGACTTCTTTTTTTTAGAAACTCACAAAAACAGGAGAAGAGAAGCATATTTATCTCCACAATAGGATTATAGAAGGAGGAGGATAAACATGTTCTAACCTCGTTGTGCCACAATACTCCATCTCAGCTAGCTTCAGCAAGGCGACACTGCAGATCCATGTCGAGAAATTAGGATTTCAACATACGAATTAATCGACGGAGAAAGGTCTTAAAAAATGGATTACAACTTAGACAGCTGAAAGAATTCCCAGGCACATGTCATTAAGTCTCAGGTAGAGAGAGACTCGAATACATAATGAACCAGAAGGCATGCTTTATATAACACATATAGGCCAACAAATATTGATAATCAATCCAGGCATACCTTGAGTGAAGCATAGGAATGGAACTCTTTTCGATAATGCTCCCTACAATCACAGCTTCCCTGAGACTGCATGTCCCCGACTGAACAACGACTAAAATCAGTTAGGAAAAAAAATAACACGGGTTCTGGTAACTACATGCATGGTCAAAGATACCACCAGGTTTATCGATAAGGGAGATTCTCGTAGAGCGATATTACCTTAGCCAAAGGGAGGAGTATGCCCTTGTTGAATGCAGCAGGTTTATAGAGTGCCTTTTTCAAAGATTGGTAAAGGGCAAAATGTAGTCTTCTGTGCTTTCTAATATCCACTCTCACCCGAGGAAGCAGAACCAACTTATAGAAGCGCTCAACTTTTCTCGAAGAGAAATTAGAAGCAAAGATCCTTGTGGCCTGATACATTGCATTCGCTGACCACTTCTCGGGTTCGGTCAAGTACAGTACATCTTCCCAGCATGCCATTGAAGTAATATGCTTGAACGCTTTTGGCATTTTCCCTTGCGTGTATTCACTAAGAAGCTTGCCAACCCTGCAAATCAATTGTTGATAAATGAGAGACATGCTCCAAAAGCTTAATAACATATAAAGAACACGCAGAAATTCAGACTCAAAAGTCAAAACAAGAACAAAATTTATGATAATAAATGCTTCAATAAATCATTTCGAAGCTCCATAGATGTTTCAAAGAGACCAAAGGAAAAGCTGACAAAAAGAATACGACAACAGCATTACCCTTTATATAATTCGATGACCGACGCGTCTAACTTAGGCATGGGACGAGCTTCTGCAACAAAAGGATGAGCTTGCAATCAGCAATGATATGCAGCAAGATACAACCTTTGCCACAAAATAATACAAGATACGGGGGCAAGAGCGATTGGCGATATCAATCAACCTGAAGCTAAGTGGTCATTTTTTTCTTTCAGCTTCTCGAGAATAATATCGGTGAGAGTACGATCTGTAGCAGCCGTCTTCGAGATGAATGTCATAAGCAGCTTCTCTTGTATCTCATCGATTTCCTCATGGCATACTTTCTATCAAAAAATATACAGTAGAAACATGAGTCTGAAGAATTCATGAAGTTTGAAGCCTAAAAGGAATACTGTGGACCGATCTAAGCAATGCAAGCACGAGCTTCCATGGAGAATAAATTCAGAGTACGCTTAACGCTAGATTTTAAGTTACGTTAACTTATCTAATCTACAATCCCAGCATCAGAGAATCACAAAATAATGTAATGGCGAGAAGAACAACGCTCACTTGGTAATCATTGTAATCGCTATCACCTTCAGTGAATCCATTGAAAGCATCGATATCGCCTTCCTCCTCGCGTGCTCTCTGCCATTCTTCCGCAGCCGCGGCCGCAACAGCGAAAGCGGCCGAACTAGGGTTCTTATCGGCGTTCTCCTCGTCTTCGACCTCCCTCTGCTGTGCCAAGGCTTCTTTAAGTATCTTCCTGCTAGTTATGGATGAAATCAGCTGAAAACACCCAAAAAAATTACAATAGTCGGTGAATCGAACAATCCCACAGAGCAATGAATACAAAAGAAGAAAAGGAAGAACACCATGAACGCGGGAAAAAAAGCATTCACCTTCTCCTGCTGCTGATGGGTCTTCGGAGCCTTTGAACGCTTCCTGGAAGCAGCGACGGAAGCATCATCGGGCAGAAAATTCTGGGTGTTTACAATACGATCGCCCTTCTTCGCCATGCTTGGGGAAAACTACAAGCTCCGCGGGAGAGAGAGAGACTAAGCAACTGGCTAACACTTAATCAAAACCCTAGCACCGAGGATATATACATAGGTTTCAGTTGTCGGCCCATTTAGCACATATACCATGTCTAGTAGTACGTACAAAATGGTCCATTGTATGGTTTGGGCCGTGCTTAATCCGTTCTTGGGCCTTATGCAACAATTCTATCTATTTAACAATTTTTTTAAAAGGAAAATAAAAAAGCAAAACTACACACATGTATGTATACACATGTATTTATATGCATGGGTACATGTTTGTTCTTATATATGTGTATGTATATATGCAAATATATATGTATACGTATGAGAATGTATGTATATTAGTATGTACTTTTTTAAAATTTGTGAACTTTTATCTCTTTTTTTTAGATAAAAACTATGAGGTGGTTGGTTTAATTTTTTAATTGTCATGTGAACGTCTGATAGTCCGATTCTGTTCGAAAGAAAACGATGTTAAATATTTGGAAGTTGATTACCAAATTCATATTGTTTTTGGAATGAAACAAAATTTATGTATTATCTTGAAAATTTTTAAACTAAAATGAATGGTAAGAAAACTTGCTAAAATGTCAATTTGGATTTCAGTTTGGATTCAGTCATGATTATTTCGGTTATACAAAAATTAAAACCATTCGATTTTAATATCAGTTCCAGATCGATTTCGATTTTATTTCAATTCGATTCGGATTTATTTCAATTCGATTCGGATTGTGTTTTTTATAGATAAAAACTTATTTTTAAAAAAAAAAAATCGGTTTTTCGGTTTTTCAATATTTTTTTTATTCGGTTCGGTTTAAATTTTTTCGAATTTAAAAAAATCAGTTTTATATTAAATCCAATTCAATTATGGTTATTCAGTGCCATTTATTCAATTATGGATATATTTTATTCGTTTATGGATATATTTTATTCGTTTGATTCAGTCAATTGAATATATCTTATTCAGTTCGATTAACCTAGGCCTTTTTTATTTTTTTGGGTGGGGAAATAAGAGACTAACGTCTGGTCTGAAGGTTACAAGTTACAATTTCATGTTAAGAAGGTAAATAGACACCTAATGGGAATCCACAAGAAGTATTTTTGACAATACCATCGACAAATTTCGTTTTCATTTTTAGGGTTTTTATATTCACACATTAACTAATAATGATATAAAAAAATAATAATCATCATCAGTTGCTCACCCAAACTTCCCCCACAAAACGAACAAGTAGTCCTTAGAGACATGGATATAAGCTTGAGAGCAAATGTATAACATCTTTTCTACCACGCTGTAGCAGGGCCTTCAAAAGACTACACCAAACCCAAAAAGAAAGAACGAGTTGAATCGGATTCTCGCTCAAAGCCTATTCTCGAGGCACTCTTTCGGAACACTTGGAAACATATCCTCTACGGATGGAGCCAAGCCAATCGATCTCAGCCGGGATCATCAGAAAAAAGAGGACCGTAAAGCCGATGATCTGATCCATCAACAGCCAAATCATCTTCGTTGCTGCTGTGCATTATATAAGGCTAATAACTACGGTTTGAACTACATTTCCCCATGTATCTTGCATCCAGATGTTACGGTGTGCGTGCTGCAGGGAAAATATGGAGACTCCCCAAGTTTCAACCCCTCGACAATTTATCACTGCTGGCCCAACCTTGGCCATTACAAAAAAAAATTGTAAAGCATGGGGTTCATTCGCAGAGTTACATATAATAGCTGGCATGTCAAAAAGATGCCCGTGAAGTCTCCTTTCTTTCAGGGTTTAATCATATCTGTCCTTGTGAATCAATTAACTCAAAAAACAATATGCCCAAATTCACAACAAACAGAGCCACAGGATTTACTTACGCTTGTACAGAGGGCGGTGGGGGAGGATATTGCAGGATCTTTTTGTGCCGTCAGCAACGGTCTCATATCACTGCGTGCATGCAAAAACAGAAACTATGAGCTAAGGTTTCCACCATCAATTCAGGCCATAAAGATATGAAAGCCCCACTAATTAAGAAGACGGGATACTCGTCCATCCATGCATATATGCAATCAAAAAGAAGCTAGCCAACAAAAGTAATGGTAGTTTAACAAGGGACATTACCTAAATGATCGCCATTCCAATCCATGAAGTCACTAGAGAGATTTAAACACCCCCGGATTCTTTTCTCTTTTTATTACAGGGTTCTCGTAAGGAAAAATGACACAATACATACCAAAACTCTGTCTTTTTTGAGATATTCCAGCCCTAACTGGCCAAATTTTAGAAAATTCCAAGTTTTTTTCACAAAACTTGCAAATGTTTCACTCTTCTGACATTTGAATAAACTCGATATCACCTTCGCTACTCTAAATACAAGCATGCAGGATTCACATAGTTTGCTTGTATTGTCGCAGGTCTTAACACTCAATACACAGCTGATAGTAAGTGTAACAAAGCTCCACAGCCATTAAACCAAGTACCAGTTCAACAAGTTCCCTCCGGCCTAAAATCCAATGATTTCCATTCCATCCATTGGAACATAAATTCTACTCATCATGCCCTCAAGGCGAACATCAACTTATTAGGCACGGAGCCGATTAGATCGCATACATTCCTAAACATCCATAAAGGGAAAGCAATCCAAACAACTAAAAAAGGGAACGTATTTACAAACAATAACTAAACCTATACAAAAATGACAGCTAAACTCAAACTATAGACACTAAAATTTCAAAGACATGGAGTTTCAAGCACTGGATATTTTAAAACGGAATCATTTTGGTCGGTCGAATAAATAAAAAGTCCCATTTTGGGAGTCCAAGTTTGCTCCTACCGATAAAGTCAAGGTTTTTCCTATCATAGTGAGGCAAGTTCAAGCTTCCCTTTACTCATTCTCCCGATATGGACGAACACCATTAATAATGCAGCCGAGAACTCTGCACGATATTTGAGACCACTAATCCAATAACAGGACCACAACCATTTCTCAACATTGGCTTTTCCACATACTTGCATCAACCCAACTATAGATAGAATTGAAGCAATTAATCAAGACTACTGAAGCAAAATGAATTCATGCTAATCAGATCCGAATCAGAAATCTCTGCACACAAACAATTAGCAATTACCGTTTTCTTGCATCCCTAGAGAATACTCTACACCAATGAGCGAAACCAAATTCAAACACTACGAACTACGATTTGCAGATCGCAGCGTTTATTTCAGATCCCAGAAAATGCCAAATCAGACAATGTAAAACACGGGAAAAAGAATTCAAACTTGCAAACCTTAGATCTGAAAATTTCAAACGGAATAACGACGCACCGCCGCAGATCTGAAAAAAAACCGTCGCCTCACGGCGGCCTCCGATTCAATTGATGCAAGGCGGGATCTGACAAGCCGCCGATTGATCGTCGGTATCCGATCGCCGTCATGCCATCGGAAATTTGCCGGAGAAACACATCAGATCGGCGAATCAGTTCCCGACCTGCACCAAGCGAATCCGAGACCACCAGTAACATAAATCCATTCGCTTTCTTTTTCGTCTCTCCCACAAAGACGATCTCATAATACTACCATAAACATATACGTAACACATACACCTATACGTATACGGTCGCATATACAGAGACGAGCTTCGCCATTGAAGCAGAACTGTAGGTTTGAGGGTAACGTAAGAAAAGAGCGACACGCGGCTGTTATTTAGCATGAAAATGGACGGTTGGGATTCATCCATGTGTCGCATAGTAGACCGTGGATGTTAAATTTAGGCGTGACTACCCAGAGGCCCAGCCCGAACGGTTTCGTCTTCAGACCCCGAGTTGGGATGAACCACGGAATTGCCATTACGGCCACGTGGCGGCACAGCTTATCATAATATCACGTGATCTGGATCGCTCACGTGCGCTTGATCCTTTCTCTCTCTGCCGTTTCTGGTTTGTCGCCAACGAGAGAAATTAGGGTTTATAGGAAACGTCGACGGAGAAGGTAAAAGCCCTAATCCCTCTTTCCATTATGTGATCAGTACGAAGAACCCTTTTCTTTTTTCGGCGCGATTGGTCTACCTAGGGTTTCGGTTGTGTCCTAAGTGATGCAATGTGTTCTCTTGGATGAGAGATGATGTTCATTCGTGGTCTGCCCGATTCAAGAACTCCAAGGAGGGTAATAAGGTAATCCAAGAACTCCAAAGAGGGTATTGAGGTATTCATGTGTAAGTACGGGAATATCCGTGTTCGACGACCAGATTTTCCTAGAAAAAAATATGATTTATGAAGTACAAATTAGAGTGAAGGTAACATGGTCGAATAATGCAGAACCTTTTGGTAATCATGCAAGTGATAAAAGATGAAATGATTTAGTGGTGGATCACGTTCATGGGGCTGGAGCTTGTTCATCTGTTTGGCATCTGTTAAAACGTGCTTTGGTGTTTTTGTTAGATGATTGTTGGTAATGTTATTATGGGTTTTTGCCAAGTTGGAATATTTTTAGCTGTATATATGCTTTTACGAAACTAGTGGGCGACAAAAGGAGGGAGGCATGATACATATATGACTGGATCGACGGGAATGATTTAGCAACTTGACATTTACTTATCTTAAAGTCACATATTTTTGGCATTTCCGATGAATTCATGTTGCTAGTTGCTGTTTCTTTAGCTTCTCGGCCCGTACAATATATATCTATATTTTCTTGGTTCCTCGTCATGATGCTTACAAGGAAAAGAATCTTCTCGATCCAGTTCGTATGGATCATTTATGACATTGTTACTCGAAATCGATAGAATGTGTAATTAAGTTTTAGCTTAAATCATCGTTGAAAAGATGTTTCCCAGACGATAAATTAAAACAGACGAGAACTGCCAAGGGGAGCCCTTGTGGGCTGTTCAAAGTGTGTGTTGCTTATATATATATAATGGTTCTGTATTTGTTTTTGCTTATGGATCATCTCTGGCTTATGTCATAATATGAAATTACTACTCCAAAGTGAGAGAAGCCCCCAACACGTTGGTTGAGAACCTTATCTTTCTAATTGGAGATCATAGATTTAACCCTTCAATAGCATGAGTTTCTTCCTAAATCTGTCAGTTTTGACTAATTTACCTGTTTCACGTGGTTTACAGATTATTACGTGGGATCAGTGAATTTTACTTCACGCCGAAGGGTCGTAGTGGTTCTGTAAGTAATGGATTTTCTAGTTTCTAAATCACTATTTTCTTATTGTTTTCATCACCAAAAAAGAAAAACTAAAATTGTGATTTTGCACTTTTTGATTAACTGTCTGATATTCATGCCTTCAAACTCACTGAAGCACGTTCCTGATTTAGTTGATTTTCCTTTTCACTTGCCTTTTACTTTTAGTATCCCTCGAACGCCAAACTGAAACAGACAGACAAAGTAAACGTGAAACATTGGGAGTGGAGAGTCATCAATGTAGTTGCTGAGAGCTGGACTTCGCATCGTACGAGGTTCTTGTCTTCGGCCATAAATAATGCATGTCGTCTACATTTTTTTTTTTTATTTGCGAGTTTGTATGATAAATCCCCTAAAGGCTAGAATAACGAATGCGTGTTGTAACAGAGAGAAATCCATTATGATATATACCATTCAAGATCTGGTGTTAGAGCATCGATCGCTTAATTAAGATTGATATAGCCCTTGTTGTTGTTTTGATTTTTATAGAGATGCATACACAGAATGCATGTGCATATATATATATGTATGTCATTACGTGTACACACACACACACACACACACATGAATATATAATGATTTTAAAATGCCTACTATAGATTGATGTTGTGGTGGCAGACAAGCCAAAAACTAAAGAGAGTTCAAAGGCTGGGTCTTTTGAAGTGGCATATGGCAGCAAATGAGTTTATTAATATATGATTAATGAAGTTATAGGCTTTGACTGCTATTATTCAGTTTGGTCATTTCTTTATGTCTAGGGACTTATGCGATATTTTGTAAAGTGGAGACGGAGGAGAACTAAGTTTTAGATCTTTTGTGGGCCACAAAAGCTTGGACAGAGATCCTAGTTTAATTACTTTCTCTCAAATCAGTAACATATGTGTATATATATATATAGTTGTTTATGTAAAATATCATGATAAAAAGCTAGGTTCTGCATATACATATATATAGTTTAGTTCTCATATGTTTGATGCTAATCATTTATTCACTAATATATTACGACTTGCACTTTGTTTCATATGGATTAGCCCATGGTATTGAATGGTTTGTTCTTGAACTGGATTGGCATATTAATTATCATTTTCTTTTATGCATTTTGAAATATCCAATGTCAAAATTTGTATAACATGCAACCATCGTCGTTACTCTATCGAAATCGATTTAGTACAATTATTAATTACATAAACAATATTGTTCGATTATACCAAAAAAAATATAGTGATATGTATATTATACACAATCGTAAACTCTTTACTACACGATGTTAATGTTAGATGTGATTGCTGGTTATTCGATGTTTTTTTTTTAAAATTAATCTACCTAAGATTCTCTAACATGTTTTCCAACTTTAGGTATTGATGCTTTGAAAATACTACTTGTGGCTAGGGTTTCCTTAAACAAAAAAGGACGAAACTGATGGTGACTGACTGGTGAGAATTTTTCAAGGCATGCCTTTTTTTTTTCTCTCTCTTCCTTTTTAATATGCAATAGAATTTTTTTTATATAAAAAAAAACACATACACATTCTCAAAGGTTGAACCCAAGTAGAACCCTTAAGACAGATGGAATATCTCTGTTTATAATATGTGTGCATGCATATACATATATGTGTGTATATATATGTGCGTGTGTGTGTGTGCGCAGAATATTTGTGATGCGGATGGGCGTTCCAACGAGAGATAGACAAGAAAATCTTAACAAAGGTTTAGTGGAGAAAGCATTTTTTTTTTAAATATATATACATATAAATATATATTTCATGTGCTTTTTTATTTATTTATTAATCTAACTTCCTTAGAATGGCAACCTTGGTGTTGTCTTATCGAGACTAATGCCTTCTTTCACGGTGAAGGACTGAGGGAATATGCTACGAGCAACATGACTTGCCGTTTTTGGAAAATATTCGCCATGGCCGCTTGCTTCTTTCTTTCTCTCTTCACGTCTTTTTGTTTTTGTACAGACATTACCATGTGCAACTACTTTATCTACCGTCCATGTCCGATAACCGATATCGAATCGTGGTTTTAGAGAAAAACCGGCTTGTGGGTCCTCCTCCAATCTCCTTAAATTGCCTCCTTCTGCTTCTTTCAATCATCATTCCTTACAGTTTTTAATTAAGGTTTTTAAGGTTTCCCCGTGTGGTCCAAGAAACCAAATCTTGGATATATAACATTACCATCGTTGTAACTTGTCATCATCAATGGCGAACCCTAGTTTTTTCATGAAGGTTTTGTTTCTTGTACTACTGTTGCAGTTACACTTTCAGACGATAGCACCGACACGACGGCTAGGGTTTTCCCACCATTCTCCACCGGCGCCGCCGCAGCCTGAAATGGATTTGGTTTGGTTCAGCAATATAAACAGGTACAAGAACATCGAACAAGACGCTTTCCGACCAACCTATCAGGGTCCTAGTCAAGGTATCGGGCACAGAAGCCCACCTGGCCGCCATTGACAGAGCGCTTGTTTGTTCGTGTCTCTTCAGTTTTTGTCTTCTTCTTCTTCTTCTTCTGTTTTTTTGTTTGTTGTTGTTTGGTTTACAGAGTTTGTGTTTGTGTCTGTGATAAGATATGGCCATGAAACTGAAACAAGGGTGTTTTTCCATGGAAGAGACGAATGATAAATGAAGGAGAAGATGAGTTCGTCCATGTTCTTGATCCTCCCATCATGTCGGAAGTTTTGTCTTTGGTATACAGACATATCTATCCAGAGTGATTCAGCTGCATGTTCTTTAATTAGTTTCTCCACCTTTGTTTGTGACTTTTGTGAGAATTTTAAGTCTTTTTTTCTCTGTTTCCGTTAATAAATCCCCCTTTCTCCTTCTCTCTCCTTTTTATTAATTCGTGTACATGCACGTAAAATATGTAGCTATATATAGAGAATGGGTTTATTTATTTTAAATGCTTTAAGTTTATATATAATGGTTTATACCGAGTTTGCTCTAGAAAAATGTATATATAAATTGATAATTAATGGTCATGAATATATATATATATATATACTTACTAGTCTACTATACAAGCGATAATAATATTTATATCCATATACAATAAAGTTTCATTTCGTTCAACAACAAAAAAAAAGTTTCATTTCGCTTTAGCGATCGATTTAGATCCCTCTTAAACCACATATATGGATTTAATTTAAATTTGGTTACGATTTTTTCATGTGTTAATGTTCACCAAGCTTCACCATTATGGTTTTCTTTTGCAAATTTACGACATATCTTCTATCAAAACGGACAAAACGCAGCTTTTCTAACAATGTAGTTTAGTATTCCGCGATATACTGAGCTAAGATTTATAAGAAATGCCCAAATATTAATAATAATAATGATGATGATGATGATGATGATAATAATAATATGACAGAACCAGAATAGTACCGCCACAATTATTTTTGTTATATCAACTTTGATTTAAATAAAGATATAGCGTATCCAATATTTGCATTATAGCTGTTTTTTTGTTATTACAATGATGATGATGATGATGATAACAATAATAATAATAATAATAATAATAATAATAATAGTAATAATAAAAGATGATAGTACAAGAAGTGTACCACCACCATTTTTTTTTGTTATGAACGCTGTTTTAAATATATTATAAAAGAATCCAATATTTTCATTATAGCTGTATTTTTGTTAGGATTAAATTAAAGTTTCAGTTTGAAAAATTCCAGTGGGTTAATGTCTTTTTTCATACCCACCGGAGATTATTTCTGACGTTCGGACAAAATTATACAAAAATCCAATTATAAAATAATTTCGAGTGTTCTAATCATGTTAATTAGAAGAAGTTGGGGAAAATAACAAATTTCCTAAGAATTATTTTTTGAAACAATCTTTCAAATATAAGAAAAAAAAGTCATTTAAAATTGTAAAGAATAAAAAACCAACGCTTCTCAAGTAATCTTATGGAAATAGAAAAAACATGTAAAAGAGAGTAAAACGAATATAGTGGAGAGGGATCACTACAATTTTTTTTTTAAAATAAAAAATTAAATAAAATAATAGTTGCATATTGGTTAGAGGAAAAAGTTAAAAATGGGAAAACATAAATGGAAAATGTACTAGGTTCACAAGGTGGTGGCCACCCACCATATCAATTATAAAAACATTTTCTTACAACTTCATGTACTTTGTTTCCGACAATCTTTTTGTTATAATACTCGAGTTCTACAAATTATTTTTATATCCGTGCGTCCGTTTTTTTTTCCCGGACGAATTTATTATATTCAGAATTACAGTAATTACTTAACATCCACAACAACAAAAAAATCAGAACAATCACCATTTTCGATTTAGTAGTATTTGACCTAAAATATATCACATGCGACTGTAATTTTATGGGATTAGAATCGGTTTTATATATATTATCTGTAAATCCTTTTTTCTATAAGGAGGTACTTGTTGACCATTGGACGAGTTTTATGGTGTGTTGCTCAATGTGTTAATTTGAATATGTATATATATATATATATATACACATACATATTTAACGATGACTTCACATAAGAAAAGGCTGAAATGTCACATGTTTTTTGAAAATGCACTAATTTTTTGTGTTATCACACACACACATATATATATATATATAGTATAGTATAGTATTATTACATGATTAAATATAAAAAGGGATAAGACAATAGTGGTGAGGGTTAGTATGAGAATCTGATGTTGATAAACTATGATATCATCTCTTTAAGCTTTAATTGGTTACTTTTACAAAGTAGGTCTTCCAAATAAATATATATATATATATATATATGTGTGTGTGTGTGTGTGTGTATAATTAGAAATCAAACGATGCCCCTCAGTTCCATCTCTCTCCGCCTTCCTTCTTATTGGATCGGTTTAAAATGGCAATGGATGATGGGTACTGTATTTGGGCTCTACCCAAATGTAGGCCCATATAAATGATAATGGATGATGCCCAATAAGCAAATGTCGTAATTATGTACAATGCTATTTATTCGGATTTAACTAAGAAACCGGGCACAATTTATCCGAACCGGTACTATAACCGGTCAAAGTTTTTTTTTTTAATTATTGTTCAATAGTAAAATAATCACGAAAAGTATGAACGATTTATATCTATATATATATATATATTACACATTTCACATTCACTAAAAAAAAGTTGGAAATCCGAGGAAATTGGGATTCGAAATATTTTTAAAAAGATTTTTGAAAATGTTGATCATGGAGATTAGAGGAGCCATGAATCCAATAAATAGGATACCGATTTCAAAGAAGGAGAATGGAAAATTAAAAAAGTCTTTGACGTTGACCCACCTCCCAAAAGACCAGAGTCAAGCAAATGGGGGACCCACAAATCTTCTTATTCTTCTTCTTCCTTGTTGTAATATAGACAAAAGGAAAGACCTACTTCCAAGAAACAAGAGATTCAATTAACAACAAAGCAAAGAACCTAACCAATAAACAAAAAACCAACTCACCAAATCAAACAAAGAACGAAGAGACGAACCCTTTTCACATTCCGTAAATTTCATACTCTCTCTCTCTCATTGAGTAAACCTCACGCTTCCTTCTTCCCTCTAAAAGCTCCGATCTTCTTTTTTTTTTCCTGTTTGAGCTTTGAGGGGCAAAACAAAATCGATAATCGAAAATCGAAATCGAATGGAATGTCGAGAAATGGAAAATGGGCGACTCGGGTTTTCTTCTCTTGCTCTCGCCTTCATCTTCCTCCTGGGTTTCTCCGCCTTCGTTTTGTGCCTCTTCGCTGAATTCCACAAGGCAAAGGTCAAATCTTTTTCATCCATTTGACTTTTTCTTTTCGTTAAAGTTATGGGTTTTGAAAGAAATCTTATGGGTTTTTTTTAACAGAGGAAAGATCTGAAATGGGATGGAGAATTCTGCTACTTGCCCGGAACTCATGCGTTTCGACTTGGAATCGCAGCTTTGATCTGCGTTTCCGTCGCTCAGACCGTCGGAAACGTTGAGATCTGCAGAGTTTTATGCAGAAGAGACAAGACAGGGTCTGCCGCCATTAAAACGCCGCCGTTTTGTAGATTCCTCTTCTTCTTCTCCTGGTAAGAAGCTGAATCTCTTTTATATATATATCATCCTACAGAAGCTTTTGTAGATTGAATGAGGATGATGAATGTGTATTACATATGTATGTATGTATGTACACTGTAGGATCAGTTTTGCGGTTGCGTTTGCGTTACTGGCAACGGCGGCGAGCATGAACAAGGAGCAGCGTTACGGACAGGGGTGGCTGAAACGTGAGTGTTACATTGTCAAGAACGGCGTTTTCTCTGCGTCCAGCGTTCTGATCGTTGTAACGTTGGCCGCTGTTTTCGGAGCGGCTGCGTTTAGCGTTAAACCGTTACAAGTCGAAACGCAAGAGAAACTTCATACGCATACAGTGTGAGAAAACTGAGCTTTAAAGGAAGGTAGAGGTCACAAAGACAATTGTTCAAATGGAAAATAGACACTTTTTTTTTTTATAAAAAAAGACGTTATTTCTATGTGGACAAGACATAGAAATGATTATCAGAAAACAAAAATTCAATTACCATGAAAGGATTTACATTTGAGTTTGATAAGAGATGAGAATGAGAGAGAGAGAGAGAGATTTCTTGAAGTGTAGGATGTTGGTTAATGGAGATTGATCACCTAATTGGGAAAAGAGTTGAAGTGTAAGAGTCACACTTATAATTAGGAGTGGATGTTTCGGTTTGGTAATAGTTCGGTTTGATTTTTTTAGTTTTATAAAAATATATATCAATCGATTATTATATTTCGATTCGATTCGATTTCATGTTTTATTGAAAAAATATTCTTTCGATTTTGCAAAATTCGGTTTTGTAAAAAAAATTATAGTTTGGAAGATTTAGACGGTTTGATTTAGAACTGGTATCATATTTTTTTATTCGATACGGTTGGATTTGAATCGAAACACCCAACCATGTTTAAAACTACCAAACACCAATAACAATTTAAACGCAACGATTCATTAAGGTTCATTTTTCTTGAATTTTATTCTGCATAAGCACTAATGATTAATGAACATTTTGGGATGGCCGTTTAGAGTTGGTTCAATATTCATTTTAAATAACTTTTTTATTCGAATATGATTTGATTTTTTGTTTTAAAAATATTAGGTTTATGTAGAATTTAATTTGGGTACCGTTATTCAGTTTAGTTATTATTTAAATTTGTTAACCTCTGGATAAATAATTTAGATTAATCTCTATAATTATAAATAAGTGATTTCATTGTTACCATATCGGGCAAATAATAAGATTATTTTCACCAAATGTGGATTACATTTATGTTGAGATCCGTAAGTAATTTCAGTATTTCAGTATTTTTTTTTCGGATCCTACTGTTCAAAATTCTCGAATGATATGATTTTTTTATAACCGAATTTCTCGCAACCGAACCGAATTTTATAAAATTTCCGAAAAACCAAATTTTTTTAAGAAAATTTATTTATTTTTAACAAAAACCGAAACCGAACCATATCGGAATCGAACCGAACCGAATAATATAAGATACTAATTTGGTACACATTTTAGAATACCGAATAAATCGTTTCCGAACCAAATCGCTAAAATTTTGACCTGAATCTCGAACGTCCCTATTATCTTCATCAATTTTTTTGGGAAAAAATATCTAAAAATTACTGAACTTGTAATTTGGTATAATATTAATTTATAAATTTGTAGGTGTATCTAACTTATATTTTTTAACACAGTAATTCTTAAACTTAAGATTTTTATAATCGTCTATACGACTAATTGATCAAAATAAAATTTAGGAATTATTATATTAAAAAATATAAATTTAAGAATTACTGTATTTAAAAATATAAATTTAGAAATTATTCTGTTTGAAAATATAAATTTTAGAATAAATAGACACACCTATATAATTTCAGAAATTAATATTACTCTAACAATTTTCAAGATATTTTTTCTGTTAAAAATTTTCCGTTATTTTTACCTTAGTTTCTGATTTTACCTCTGTAAAAATTTTCCGAACACGCTTTTACCTTTGCCTGGGGACCGTCTGTATGATACCTCTCGGCTCTGGAACACAAGCAAGACTCTTTCTTCTTCACATAAATCTCTTCACGTGTTTCATCCTCCGAATCTAATTTTCTTTCAGATCTTAACTTTTTCTCTCTCTTTCCTTCGGCCGATTACGGGAAGTTCGAAGCTTCCCATGGTGCAATTCGGGTTTGGAATTGGAAGAACCCTAATCCAAGCTTGATATCGCCGTTAATCGATCGGTGGGAGGAGGAAAGCGGGTCGAATTTTCGGTTTGTAGGGTCTAATTTGTCGGTAAGTCGGATTCAGTGAAGCTTTTTTTCCCCTTCCGATGGAGCAGCTGAAGACGATCGGGAGGGAGCTGGCGATGGGATCGCAGGGAGGGTTTGGTCAGTCGTCGGAGTTTCTCGATCTGGTCAAGTCGATCGGCGAGGCTCGATCCAAGGCTGAGGAAGATAGGATCGTGTTCAACGAGATCGAGACTCTGAAGCGGCGGCTTCTAGAGCCAGACGTGCCGAAGCGGAAGATGAAGGAGTACATTATACGGCTCGTCTACGTCGAGATGCTCGGCCATGACGCCTCCTTCGGCTACATTCACGCCGTGAAGATGACCCACGACGACAGTCTCCTCCTCAAGCGCACTGGTTACCTCGCCGTCACGCTGTTCCTCAACGAGGATCACGACCTAATCATCCTCATCGTGAACACGATCCAGAAAGATCTCAAATCCGACAACTATCTCGTTGTTTGCGCGGCGCTTAATGCAGTGTGCAAGCTGATTAACGAGGAGACGATTCCGGCGGTTCTGCCTCAAGTGGTGGATCTTCTGGGTCACCAGAAGGAAGCTGTGAGGAAAAAGGCAATCATGGCTCTGCATAGATTCTACCGAAAGTCGCCATCTTCGGTTTCGCATTTGATCTCTAACTTCAGGAAGAAACTTTGCGATAACGATCCAGGAGTAATGGGTGCGACCCTTTGCCCGCTTTTCGATCTCGTAAGTGCCGATGTTAGCTCCTACAAGGATTTGGTCAGCAGCTTCGTCAGCATTCTCAAACAGATTGCTGAGAGAAGATTGCCAAAGAGTTACGATTACCATCAGATGCCCGCACCGTTCATCCAGGTTCATCATCATATGTATAGTGTATAACATTGTCTCTGTTTCGCAACTGAGAGTAAAATTCAATGGCTGGTCTTTTGTCATAATTTTTTCTTTTTAGATCAAGTTGCTGAAGATTCTGTCATTGCTGGGAAGTGGTGATAGGAGTGCTAGTGAAATGATGTACACTGTGATAGGAGATCTGTTCAGGAAGTGTGATTCCTCTACCAATATCGGAAATGCTATCCTTTATGAGTGTATTTGTTGCGTTTCTTCTATACATCCAAATCCCAAGTTGTTAGAAGCAGCAGCTGATGTGATCTCCAGGTTTTTGAAGGTAGTCTTCTTTGTTGTGAGCTCCTATTAAGCTACATTGTACCTGAAGCGTTGGTTAATTATTGTTATTTGCAGAGTGACAGTCACAATCTGAAGTATATGGGCATTGATGGTCTTGGTAGACTGATAAAAATAAGTCCAGACATAGCTGAGCAACACCAGCTTGCTGTAATAGATTGTTTGGAGGTCAGTATGAGTGTTTCTGGAAGTGACTAGAATATCTTTTAATCTCAACTGACTGTCCACTTATCCAAAACGGAAAGGTTTAGTTATTCCGTTTCGATTTGAGCTTCGGGGTTTCTTTTCTTCTCTAACTATCATGCTTTTCTGTGACAGGATCCAGATGACACACTAAAGAGAAAGACCTTTGAATTACTGTACAAGATGACAAAGTCCTCTAATGTGGAAGTGATTGTTGACCGCATGATCGGCTACATGATTAGTATCAGTGACAATCATTACAAAACCGAGATAGCTTCTCGTTGTGTTGAGTTGGCTGAGCAATTTGCTCCGAGCAATCAATGGTTCATTCAGGTAGCAAATGGTACCTTCTCTCTTGCACAGTCTATACTTAGAGCTCTTTCTCTTTCATGTTCTTTGACATAATTTGGAATGTGCTCTTTTTCTGCAGACTATGAACAAAGTTTTCGAGCATGCTGGAGATATAGTTAATATTAAGGTGGCTCATAATCTGATGCGTTTGATTGCTGAAGGCTTTGGGGAGGACTATGACGATGCAGACAGCAAGCTTAGGTTATCAGCTGTATGTCATTCACATTTCACATGTGTGTGTTCTGCTTCTGCATGCAATGATACCGCTATCTGTCTTTTTTTTTGGATTATATATTCTTCTATTTAAAATGAAGTTTTTGTTCCGTGGAACTGTGGCCTTATCAATGGGATTGACTGTGCTATGAGAGCCCACGTGATTTTCACCGCGCCCGAAGGGCTGTGGTTGGGTTCCCGCCGTTACCCAAAAAAAAGACGTGTCTATTGGTGTGTATACTCATGTGTATTTGTATAAGCACATGATCCAAACATATGTATATATACACACACATTCGGATCACGTGCTTATAGAAACACACGTGAGTATGTACACTAATAGTGTCTGAATGGCTTCTGTTTGAGTACTGAGTTTCTGCACTTGTCCATGTAATTTTCGGAGTGTTTAATTGCTTTTTTCCAATGCAGGTGGAATCATACCTGAGGATCATTAGCGAGCCAAAGCTTCCGTCTCTTTTTCTTCAGGTCTCTTTGCCCTTCTGACCTCTGGTGTATTAGTTCATTAGTTGTTTATGTTTGATAAGAAATCTACCTACCTGTGTCTTAGTCTTCAATCTCAACTTCAGGTCATTTGTTGGGTCTTGGGAGAATATGGGACGGCTGACGGGAAGTATTCAGCTTCTTATATTACTGGAAAGCTATGTGATGTGGCAGAGGCATATTCAAGTGACGAAACCGTCAAGGTAACATCCACTAAATCTAAAGATTATATACATCGAGAAGCATTTGAAGTTTCTGTGTAGATGAATATGAATGCTGGTTTTCCACCTGAAATTTTAATTGTTTCTCTGTTCTTTTTCTTAAGGGCTATGCTGTTTCTGCACTTATGAAGATATATGCATTTGAAATCGCATCTGGGAGAAAGGTGGATGTCCTTCCAGAGGTTAGTGCCTTCAGATGTTTTGAAGTTGCGGAGGATTCGATCGTCTTTGAATGGAATCTGCTTGTTTAGTGAATGGTTTCTTGCTGCAGTGTCAATCTTTGATCGAACAGCTACTGGCTTCACATTCAACAGATCTTCAGCAACGTGCATACGAGCTTCAGGCTGTGCTTGCATTAGATGCCCATCCTGCTGGGAGCATAATGCCATTAGATACCAGTTGCGAAGATATCAAGGTAATATTTTCGTATTCTCTGCTCCATTTCATGTATACTTCTCTCGTCTAAAGATGCTAAAACTCTCTGTTCTTATCGAATAGGTTGACAAGGACCTTTCTTTTCTCAATGGCTACATCCAACAAGCTATCGAGAGTGGAGCTCAACCCTATATTTTTGAAAGTGACCGTTCTGCAGCATTCAGTACCAGCGATTTCCATTCCCAAGACCTCCATGAAGTTTCTTCCCACGCTCTTCGTTTTGAAGCCTATGAACTTCCGAAACCCGCAATTCCGTCAGTGCCACAACCTGTTTCTCTTGCTGCATCGACCGAGCTTGTGCCAGTACCAGAGCCTTATTACAGCGAGACACCTCAGTCAATTTCAACATCATCAGAAATCAAGCTGCGGCTAGATGGAGTTCAAAGGAAGTGGGGTCAACCGACTTACTCTTCTGCCTCATCATCTATACCAGATTCTTCTACTCAGAGATCGGCTAATGGGGCATCTACTCACTCAGATGGAGTTGGTTCAACTAGTTCAAAGAAGCCTGAAATTGATCCTGAGAAACAGAGACTTGCTGCCTCGTTGTTTGGTGGATCATCATCATCACCATCAAGAACTGAGAAAAGGGCATCATCTTCTGGTGGCCAGAGGGCTGGAAAAGGGCACAACCATGGAGGTAACAAAACCGCCATGCCCATGGAAACTCCACCTCCTGACCTGCTAGACTTGGGTGAGCCCACTGCTTCTGCAATTACAAGCAGTGACCGAATGACCGATCCATTTAAGGATTTAGAAGGGCTTATCGAGACGAGTCGAGATGGTACTTCAAGTCATACCGAAGCACCGAATTTCATGGAGCTATTCTCAGATGCACCTGCAACTGGTGAAGTCACTACCAGTGTGGATGCTCTGTTATCAGGAGGATTATCAGACACAGACCCAGTTCCAAACCCTAGCTCGCAGACACAAGTAGCTCAGTTCTCAAAGGGACCGAGCCCGAAAGACGCAATACAGAAAGACTCACTTGTCAGGCAGATGGGTGTCAATCCGACGGGCCAGAACCCTAACCTGTTCAAAGATCTGTTCGGCTAGGATCTCTCTGTCCGGCAAGGAACATGCTATGCCAGATCACACGCACGGGTAATGTGACAGTATAGAGACATGGTTCGGATCTCAGGCAGAGGTTTTGTACTTTAAAAACCGACAGAATGTTCGTTCTACACAAAAGGGTCGGTCTCATCTCGAGCTCTGGTTTTTGTCTGCCGAGAGTTCTGTCATGTTGTTTCTATCAAATACTGCATCTTTTCATAGTGTTTCTCTCTCTGTTCTGTTCTTGTAATAAATGTTCCCGAGAAGTTTATTTCGCAATAAACGTGGGTTCCGTGATAGCTTAGAGAAAATTGAATACTCCATCCATTTCATTTTAGATGTTCAAAATTTAAACACACAAATTAAGAAAAACAATAATTTGTCCAAAACATTCTTATTTATTATTTCTAAATATATAGAATATTTAACTATTATAAAGTTTAAAAAAATATTAAAAATTGCCTAAAAAATCACTTATTTTGAAACAAAAATATAATTGTAAAACGTCATTTAATCTGAAACAAAGAGAATATATATATAATCTAACGTCAATTCGGACACATATCCAAGAGAGAATCACGAATTTATTAATTTTGGATATTGCATTTGCCATATCAGTAATATTTTGACCCAAAGTTTAATTAAGTAAAATCATTATATCATCAACGGGGCTGAAGTTATGGAGACGTTGAAGAGTAGCGGAAAACGAAGTTGGCCATAGAAAAAAAATTGATCTGATCGATCGAAGAACAAAAACCACAGAGGTGTGAAGCTTCTCTAATGGCGATTTGAAGCAAAAAGGAAAAAGAAAGTTGTGGAGAAGAAGAAAATGGAGGGTTGGCGAAAGGCGTTGAAATCGAAGACTGTGTTCGTGACGGTCCACGTAACGGTGATCGTCGGCGTTATAATCTCTTCCTTATACGTCTTCTCCGCCATTAACTCTTCTTCCTATGGCTCCTCCTCATCATTTCTTTCTTCTCCTCCTCTCTCCAGTAAATCCCTCTTATCTCTGTATACAGTGGCGGATTTAGAAAATTATTGAACAGGGGGCAAACATAATTTTTTCTATTATAAATGGGGGCATTTCTAATTTTATTTGCAAATTTGTAAAAATTTACAAAGAAAAATACAGTTTTTAATTAAACTAATGGGGGCCTTTGCCCCCATTGCCCTTAACGTGCATCCGCCACTGTCTGTATATGTTTGTGTATATGCGTATATATCTATACTGATCCGTTTTGTGGGTCGCGTTCTCTAATCCGTTTTGTTCTTATTCGATCGCATTGCCACTGAGATGAAAACCCAGTCGTCTGAAAAAGATCGAACCTTTTTCCTGTTCTGTAACAATCTGAGAATGAACCTGAGAGACAGAGACAGTGTTTTGCCAAAAGAGACCAAATTTTTATACGCTTTGCGATTTTTTTTTTTCTGTTGGATTATTTTACGAGATGGGTTTTCAATCACCATTGTTAAAAGATTTCTTTTTTGTAACATTTCGATCAGATATTTCCAGTGGTCTGACTCAATCATTTATACACTGTCTCTACGGCTTACCAGTTTCGGGTTCGGCTTGAATTCGGTTTTTTCGGATTTAGAGAAGTCATAACTGATCGGTTTTATGTACGATTTGGTTCAGTTACGGTTATATCTTATCTGGTTTACAGTTCGATTTAGTTAATTGGTTAATAACCAAAATGACCTCCTCTAAAAGTTTGTCTCAAAGATTATGTAGCTTCTTTCCATTGAAGATTACTGGATTTAGTTTCTCCGTGAACAGTCTGCACAATGTGCATATGAGCTTTTTCTTTTGCAGATGTCGGCCGATTTTCCGCTCATTCACCATCAAACTTAACCTCGGATTTTCCGATCCGGGCGCCTCCTCATGACAAGAAAATGCCCCCTCTCGAGACGTTCAGACTGACGAAAGAACTGGTCGGAGGAAGGGCGAAGGACAACATCGTCATCGTGACATTCGGGAACTTTGCCTTTATGGATTTCATCTTGAATTGGGTTAAACACCTGACCTGTCTAGGCCTTTCCAACGTCCTAATCGGTGAGTTTTACAGCTAAAGTTCTCCGTTTTATCTTACCCGCCTCTTCATACGTTTCTTACAATACCGTGTTATCGTTTTTTTTATATAGGCGCATTGGACACGAAATTGTTAGAGGCTTTGTACTGGAAGGGTATTCCGGTTTTCGACATGGGAAGCCATTTGAGCGCAGCCGATCTCGGGTGGGGTTCCGCTTCGTTTCACAAACTGGGACGGGAGAAAGTCATTCTCATCGACGCTATCTTGCCTTATGGTTATGAGCTCTTGATGTGCGACTCCGACGTGGTTTGGCTAAAGGTACTGAATTTTCTGACCCGACTTTTTCGTGAAAACGTATCTTTTCTCGGCCTGATCGTTCGTATCTTCCGCGGTAGAACCCTTTACCCTATCTCGCGAGGTACCCGGAAGCAGATATTCTGACATCGACTGATGAAGTCGTGCCGACAGTCGTTGATGACAGTCTGGATATTTGGCAGCAAGGTAGAAGACAATGCCCTCTTTTTCTTGTTCAATCACTTGTCTGTTTTTTCCTTCTTTCTGAACTTCCCTCTTCCATTTTCTGTGAAAATCTGGAAGTGGAAGCTGACTACAACATTGGGATTTTCCACTGGAGGCCGACGGAATCAGCAAAGAAACTGGTGAAGGAATGGAAAGACACCCTTTTGGCAGACGACCAGATTTGGGATCAGATCGGATTCAACGAGATTGTCCGGAAACGGTTAGGCCCGTCAGTTGATGGGGACAGCGGGGTTTTCTATGCGTACGATGGGAATCTCAAGGTCGGGCTTTTGCCTGCTAGCGTGTTTTGCAGTGGCCACACATTCTTTGTTCAGGTACCTTGTCTTCTTCTACCCCCCAAAAAAAAACTTTTTTTTTCACGTGTCTCTGGTTCTGTCAGTTGATTGAAAAACCCTTTGAAAAAGGCGGTACGAGACGAGGGTTAGCGGAGAATCGCCCTCTGCTGGGAAAAAAAATCCGAAATTCGGGTAACCGGCTCTTATATGATGAGATGATGAGATCGGGTTTTGTTATCACAGAAATCCGAGAATCGGGTTTGTATTTGGTTATTTGTTCACGAGATTGGTTAAATGGGAAAATTTCGAATATCCGACCCAAACCATACTTTAGAAAAGTATTCTGAATTTTTGTATTTGAATAAAACATTCGGGTTCGGATAACTCGAAAATTTCAGACACCCGATCTATATCCACCCTAGTGTAAACGTATCAAAAACTCAAACTCAATTTTCTTTTTTTTTTTTGAAACAAAAAAATGGACAGGGAACGTATAAACAGCTGAGACTGGAACCGTATGCTGTCCATACGACATTCCAATACGCAGGCACCGAAGGGAAACGTCATAGGCTCCGAGAAGCAATGGTTTTCTACGACCCACCACAGTATTACGACGCTCCAGGTATGTATGTGCACATACTGATTTTCAAACAATATATAAAAATATGTCAACATCAACATGTTCTTAATCCCAAATTTATTTGGGATCGGACTAATGAATTATTTGTTTTTGTCATTCCGATTTTGAGTTAATTAAAATAATCAAATTTTTATAGAAAAAGAGTATTTATATTGATAAAAATCGAAATGGACGACGTATATATAATCGAATTGAATTCGATATAAAAATCAAATAGTTATGATTTTTTTTACTGGAGCATACATTAGTGTATGAAATACGAATGAATCAAACCCGCCAATCCATCTAAGGGGTTATATATATATTATATGAACAAAGCAGGAGGTTTCTTGGCATTCAAGGCATCTATTCCGAAAAGCATGTTACTTGATGGCCACCACACTCTTGCTTCCCATTTCGCCCTCGTCAACCACCAAGTACGCATTGTACTATCAATATTATTATTGTTATTATGTTTCAATTTTTTTTAAAAAAAAACTATTTCATTACCCTTTTTCTAAATCATAACATTTTACTTTTTTTTTTTGGGGTTTCCTCTATATACAGATTAAACAAATTAGATCAGCTCTCGCCATTGCTTCTCTGTTAAATCGTACTCTGGTGAGTGAGTTTCCATCACATATGTCTTCACCAAAATTTTGGTGAAGCGGTAAGAGTGATACCCCGACGATAACTTGTCGGTCTTTACAAAAATTTCAGGTCATGCCCCCGCTGTGGTGCAGGCTGGACAAGTTGTGGTTCGGACATCCCGGAATTCTTGAAGGATCTTTGACTCGGCAACCTTTTCTATGCCCTCTCGATCATGTGTTCAAGGTACACCAACTTCTTCCTTCTGTTTTCGTCTTCGTACGTACCCATCATTCCCTATCTGCCCGAGACGCGGGAAAAATACCTCATAACGCCTGAAAACTCGACGGAAGTACAGATAGATACCATGTTGAAAGAGCTACCAGAGGACGAGTTCGGCCCGGGGATCGGAATCAGAGAATATTCCTTCTTCGACAACCCGTTATTGCCAAAACACGTAATGATAACCACCTCGAAGACGTTTTTTTTTTCCTTTCATTGTCCGAAATTTCCGTCCTCTGATGTTTTAGGTTTCAGGTAAAAGAGTCATGGCTCGATGTGAAGCTTTGCCATGAAGGATGTGAAACCTCAGACAACACAATTTCCTCCGGTTTCATCAAGTTTCCAAAACGGAGCAGCGAAGAGAGAGTAATCTCTCTCTCTCTCTCTCTCTCTCTCTCTCTCTACTTTGGTTTAGTTTATGTATCGAGAAAATGGTTATTTTTTTCTTTTTGGAATAATCACTTCATTCGTGCTATATATACAGTTCAAGGCGACATTCTCTTCCTTGAAGGATGTTAAAGTGATAAACTTTTATTCGGTTCAAGATGCTTTCACCGGATTTTCCGACAAGGTAAGCCACCTCATCTTTTTCTTGGAGACATTTTTAATTTGTCTTTTTTTTTAAATTTTAATTTTGGGGGATTAGGAGAGAGAAGAGAAATTCAGAAGAAGGGTGAAGAGATACGTGGGGAGATGGTGTTGCGTGGAGAACCGGACTTTAGGACACATCTACTACGACATGTATTGGGACGAGAAGCCTCCCCCTCTTCTCTGACGCCTTGTCCCCCAAGAAAACTTGTCCGAATCAGAAGTGGCTTTTAATGAGATCATGGGTATCAGGTTTCTTGAGGGCTAAGAAACTATATTCTTGAGGAGTTATAACTCTTGACAGATAACTTTTTTTTTATCTTTTTTATAACGGTGGGAATACTGCCGCTGCCCTTCAAATGCGCACTGCGTATACTCTTCGACCCCACTCGATAGCCTGTGAACCACGTGAAACAGTCTAAAACTGACGGGTTTAAGAGAAATTCATGACGAGAAAGGTTGAACTCGTGACCTCGTGGTAGATCGAGGACAGATCTATCAACCAATTGAGTTGGAGGTTTCTCGATAGATAACATTCACGGATACATGATTTTTTTTTTTAAATACTTTTCAATAGAAATAGAAACCCTGAACTAGAAATGAGATTGTTCTATGAAAAATATTTATGTTGCTCTGAATAAAGTTTTGGTATATTCTATTTGTTTTATTAGGGGAAGCCATTCGGTTCGGTTATTCATAAACTGATATGATCTGTATCAAATAATATATATATAATCATAATTATAGTTAAACTGGATTCGATAAAAAATTTGTAATTTGTTTTTAAAAATAAGTATTTTTTTCATGAAACCCGAAAGGAACCAAACCAAACTAAATGTAATATAAAATCAGAATAGATATAGCAAATTCGAACCTGAAAACCGGAATACCCAACCATATTCTTAATCTTTAGTTCAAGTTTTGTTAAATACTGAAACTATGCAATTGTTTTTTTTTTCTGGGAAGATATTTATCCTATTTTTAATAGAGGATCGCCTTACATTTGGAGATGCATATATGAACTGTAAGAAAAATATTCAAAGAAGACCTGAAATTCGAAACTTCATATTCAAAAGAGAGGTCTACAATGATATTTATTAATCATCACATCAATTTTTTTTTTATAAAAAAATGGATTTGCCAATAGAAATAAATAACCAAAACGATAGCTTTGGTTACAACAACAAATTTATACAAATGTACAATTTTTTTTTTTAAATCGTACAAACAGCTTCAACAGCAAGTCTGTTCGCAGCGCCTCCACAATTAGATGCTCCAAACTTAACCTCCGACACATTGACCGAACATCTCTCTTTTCCAACACATTCCTTTGTCAGAACGGCCACAGCGTCGTTGCTTGCGTCGCAAGTATCCTTGTTGAAGGATCCGCATTCGCCACGTGGATTTCCAAAGCTGGCGAATTTGATCTCGGAGATTCTTTTCCCGTTGCAAGAAAGTTCTAGAACGTTGTTCTCGTATACGTTTGCGCATACGGTCGTGACTGCAACTGTCTGAAATCTTACGAGTGAAGGGTTACCTCCCATCTCTTCGAACAAAACCAATGTGTTTTTCCCTTTTGGGTTGAAGAAAGAACGAGGAACATGGTACCTGAAACAAACCCATATCATGTTTTTTTTTTAAAAAAAACAAGATTTTTGGATCGAACACATGAAAAAAGAATCGATCTTTTCGAGTAAACTTCGATAAAGATTTGTACTTGATTAAAAAAAGAACTCGACTGAGATGAAATTCGAGAAAGGTTTACCATCTTTGAGTGGGTTGACCGCAGTTGGACCGACACTTCTCACTGCCATATGAGCCTCTGTAATCACAAACCTCGGAACATCCGTCTTGGCCGGCGAGAAAGCTCGGCCAGTAACGTCCGATGTTATTACCGTTGATCCAAGCGGTCCCTTTTCCGAGCCCTTGAAGATCCACGACAACTGGTTCGGTTCCATAAGGAGCCTTGAAACTTGTCTGAATCGTTTTACACACAAAGCAAAGTTAGGTCAAATCCAAATGAATGATTTCTCGATGATGATGATGATGATGTGGATTATTACCTTGTACCATGTCATCATTCTGTTTGTCGGGACATTGCTCTTTGACCATCCAGAAGATGATCTATCCGACCTGAAAAACTGGTTCTTGAAGCCATTCAAACCTGTCTTGTAAGTCCAAGCCTGAGTAGACAAGTCCTTGACAGCGGTCTCTGCTCCTGCTCCGTTTCTTCCGACAATTTGAACAGATCCCGTTATTCCAGCTGGTGCCAGATCAAAGAAAGATCCATAGTTCTGTTGTGGAATGATTCAAAAAACCAGAACCCATCAAACCATATATAAAACACTTCTGATATGTCTTTCCAAGCTCATGTAGATAAGGAGTGTGTGTGTATATATATAATCTGTTTATATTTACCTGGAACCCGACAGTGACGCTAAGCAAACTAATAATGTTAACTCCGGGGATAAATTTAACTGTTGGCTCGAAAACATAGTTGAATTTTCCATCTTTAGCCCATTGAGAGCCTGGAAAACAAAAACCAGATCCACAAATATAATAGCATGTTAGGGTAATTATCAAAGTATTCAAAAACCGGTTACTTGGTTCACAAGGCAATTGATCATATCGTTAACTCACCGACGTGTTCTCCATTGACATAGACATGAAGGACGTGGGCAGTGCAGTTGATACGGAGAGACGAGTTGTTGCCCAAAACGGGATCGTTTTGGTCGAGATTGACCTTAGTCATGTACCAGAGATAATCACTCTGATCATCCGCCATCTCCTTCTGATCCACGAGCTTGCTGAACGTAGCATCTCCCCTTCCCTTCATCACCATCTCCTCCACATCCTCTAATCTCCATGACCATCTCATCTTCTTCGCTTTATCTTTCCCTTTCTTCTCCATCACCGATGTCTGAGCGTTCACCTGATAACCACATCCTCATCATCATCATCATGTACATACATAATGCTATATAATGCATGTTTTTTCTTGAGAAAGAAGGAATTTTGCGAGATGGGTTTTGCGTGGATTATATGAAATCGAACCTTGGCTGTGTTATAAGTTTCGGTTTTGCAATCTGGAAGAACAGTGACGGACCAAGCTGGGATTGTGTAGTTTCTGCCTTGTACGTTTATTGTAGCATCAGAAGAAGTGTTTGCGTTGCTGAAGAAGCAGCTCGATGCTTCCTTGGTTGCGTAAGTAGTTGCCTATATATTCATCAATGTTTATAAACATTCCACAAGTTAATTCCGTATTAAATAATAATAATAAATAAATAAATAAATGAGAGTTTTAAATGTTATTACAGAGACTGAGTTCCCAAAGTCAACGTTGGAGACTTCGCCTTGGGTGAGTGTTGTCTCCATGGAGTGAAGCACGTCGTGGAGTTGCTTCAAGTGCCCGTATTTCGGTTGGTTCAAGTTTCCTAAATCGTAAATTAAAAAAAAAATTGTTATTAAAATTCGAATATTCTGTAATATTTTTATGAAAAGTTTAAAAAAATGATTGATTCGTATGAAATCTACCGTATTCGTCAAGAGGAGCATTGTAATCGTACGTGGTCGTGATGTACGGACCCCCTGTTGTTCTGCCAAAGTTGGTACCTCCATGGAACTATATATATATATATATAACGTTTTCATGGTTAATGTAATTGTTAATATTTTGAAATTAAAAAATAAAAAATGTTTTTTTTGAAAAAGAACGAACCATGTAATAGTTCTGGAAACTCCCTCCTTTCTGGAAGAATCTTGCGACAGCAAAAGCAAGATCTTCTGCGGTTCTGTACGGATCTTTCCCTCCCCAGCTCTTGAACCTAAAATTTACAAAAACAAATATAAATACCATTAAAAAACCAAAATTATAACTAAAATTAGTAGTTTTTTATTGTTTTGTTGGGATAAATATGATTAAGATCAAGTTGATAACTATAATTAGTAGTCATTGTTTTTGCAATAAAATCAGAGACAGTCATAATGGATAAAAATGCATACCAGCCGGTCCAGTTTTCGGTCCACATCTTAGGAGTGTTAGGGTTATTGGGTCTGAAGTCATGGCAGTAGAATCCATTGCACGTGTTTAGCTGAATATAAATAGATTAATAAAAAAAATGAGAATTTTAATATATAATAAATTAATTAACAAAAATATTATTTTGTTAAAAAAAATCGAAATAATTTGGTACGAACCATGGGTTGTGGGGCATCGTCTTGTTGGCACATAATCCACGGGACACCAATGTTAAGTGACTGAGCCATATTGGCACACCAATTTATATATTCTTTCCCAGCTGCTCCATATGGTCCCATTACATTCCCATACTCATTTTCTATCTGTTCAATTACATATAATTAATTAAATATAATAAAATTATATTTGATAGATTCATGTCTTTGTGTGTGTGTGTGTGTATACCTGGGCAAGGATAATGGGACCTCCTTGTGATGCAAAGAGATTCTCCTTCCTCATCATGTCTACTATGAGAGTTGTGAAAGTATGCATCTCATACTGCAAATTTAAATTTAGAAAATGATTAGGAGGATATATATATATATATTGAAATAATGATATAATATTATATCTGTTAGTTTGCAAATTGAATTACCATGAAGATACTGTTGTTAGTCCTCATTTGGACTCCGGGCAAATTGTGTAACCACACTGGGAACCCTCTATATGTAAACATTCATCATTAAGAACAAAGTTAGATTTCAAAGTTTAGTTTTAATTGTTTCATCATCATACATATGTATATGTATAACAGTATATGTATATATATATATGTATGATATGATCAATATAAGAAAGAATAATGGCGATGATGATAATGGGTGTTACCCGTAGTTCCATTCGGCACAGGCATACGGTCCAATTCGCAAAACTGCGTATAATCCTTCACTCTGAATATTTTTTATGAATCGGATCAAGTCTAAATTCCCCGAAAAATCGTACTGACGACGAATTGGCTCGTGGGCATTCCAAAACACGTATGTCTCGATCGCGTCGAGTCCCCCTTCTTTACCTTTCCTTATGAGATCCGGCCACATCTAATATATATATAACCCATTGAAAAATACATATCAAACGATGCATACATACATGTATGTATATGTTTTGATGATATGTATGTGTATATGTATACCTCGACCGTGCTTCTTGGGTAATGAATCGAACCGGAGAGAAGAATTCGACGTTTGCCATCAATGGTGATGGCTCGGCTGTCGTGAGAGACGGTGGCGGCGTAGACAGAAGTGAAAAGACAAGACAAAAGAAGGATGTTTCTAAGACAATCCATTAGATACGTCTCCTTATCCAAAGCTCTTTGGGAAATTGATGAATATATGATGTGAAGAAAGAATGGCGTGTATTTATAAGGGGAGACATGTGGTCTTTGCTGTAATTTGTTGGTCGTTTTCTGACTCATCTCTACTTATCTATAACCGAGGTTAAATAGATATTAGTGTTATTTATAGAATTAAATCCTTTTATAAATATAAATTAGTGATATTTATAGAAGTCAATCCGTTTATTTGACGGTTTAGATATGATTTAGTCTTTTTTTTTTATAGAAGTCAATCCGTTGTACCCTTGAACGAAATACGTTTGAATTACCATGTTAGGGTCACGGAAGTTTAACATGCCACTTGATCTAAAGTACTATTGTTTCAAGCATCCAAGAATCATATTTAACATGGATCGGATACCAAAATTTTGCAGTATACCCGATTTCGATTTCATCATCTCGGGCTTTTTTGTAGTCTATCTGATCTCGGTTTCGTAAAGATCGGATACCCGATCTACATGTACACACGGGGCATGGTAAAGCCGAGACAGTTGACTACAAGGCGAGCAGTGTCGAGGTGTTAGTTACGGAGACAAGAGCGGAGAGCAGAACCCACGGTAGCAACTAGCAAGGCATTCGGGTTCATCACGTCCCCTAACACAACGTCGACTACGTTGGAAACCCGACATTTTAAAACCCTAGTTACGTTTAAAATGGAAATTTAAAACGTTGTCTCGCGACCATCATTTGAACGAAACCCTAATTTCGCCTCGCCACCTTTCAACTCAACTTCCGACCATCAACCTCATATCTCGACCTCTCCTCTTGGCTCGGATTACCCGTACCTAGTGAATGTACGGGTAATCGGCCAACTAGACCCGCACTCAAACCCATGGCATAAGTCCTCACCGGCCACAAAATTCGGTTACCCATGTCCCTAATTTCCATCCATGCCCTCATGACATAAATTTCACACAATAGATCAGTCAAGAGTCCAAAACAAAATGCATCCAATGTTTCAATCGATCCCAAATTTCATATACATTTAAAAGACTAACAGAAAAAGGTTTTCTGGCTGGATGAAAAGCCAAGCCGTAGACGAACACGATAGCGGGAAATGCAGAAAGCGTTTCGAGAATAAAGAAACGTGGATCAGCCGGATTTAGGAAAATGTCGAGACAACAGCTTCGCAATCTCCAAGAACCCGACCTTGTCTTTCCCCTCAAAAATCGTCTTCAACTTCTCATCGCAGTTTATCTCCCTCTTGTTTGCCGGATTCTACATGAACCAAAACACGTTTTAGTCGGAATCACTTGTTTAACAGGCCATCAATGGAGAAACAACATACTCTGAGCACAAACGAAATGATCAATGTTAATCTACAGCATTCATACCCCCATCATTCCAATCAGTTTTAAGCATAAGAAGAAAACCAACACTAAATTCTGTGTTCAAGCACATCTCATTAATGGCTTGTTAATGTTTGGCTTCGAAATCTTTGAACTTTGAACAGAGAAAACCATTTCCACTCCACAACCAATGAATAAATACCAATAGCTCTTGCTTCAAAATATTTGCCCAGAATCCTGTAACTCAACACTGCATCTGTTTAGGCATTGGATCGAAACTCTTCAATCCAATACCTCAATCCATCATTCAAGAGGATACAAATTTCCTGATGATGAACAATTCGGTGACAAGAACAACACAGAGCGGACATTAATCCACTGAGCCAAAAATGCAAAGCAACAGAGAACGGCCTGACGTTACCGATAACATTCGCATCCCAAACAGTGGATTTTACCCATACACATAGAGATACTTCGCACACGATTCGTATAATCAAACCTCAAACGGCTGATTCTACTCGTAAAAAATGCATGATGAGACGAAATGAATAACTCGAGAAGAGGATGAAGACAAAAAATCCATAACCTGGAGGTTGTGAAGCTTGATGTGCTCCCAGATTTTCTTCACGGCTGTGGTACGAGAAGCTTCGTTGGTGCCGAGGAAGCTAGCGAGCTGCTGCGAAACAGGAACCGCTTTCAGTATACCTTTTCCTTCTTTAGCACTTCCGGCGCCGGTGGAGGTGGCTGAAGAAGACGCCGCCTTCGCCATCAGAGTCCTGCAAGCTCCGAAAACCCTAGAAGTTGCCGCCATTTTCTTCGACGCGATTTCAAATTTTTTCTCCTGGAAGAGAGGAAGAAAACAGAAGCACTGTATCCTAAAACCCTAAGAAGACGGAATGGTTCTGTGGAGCCTTCGCCACCTTTATTCATTTGGGCTTCAATGAATTAGTTTTGGTCTTTGGGCTTTGAGCTTTGAGCTTTGGGCTTAAGGTTAAATTTATTCATATATTTTATTTAAATTCGAAAAAATAAAAATAAAAAACAAATACCGAATTAATAAAAATCCGACAATTATAATCCAAACACCAAACTTTTGAAAGAATAATAGATATATGTTAACAAAATCCATTACAAGTCTTTCAATAATCCATTATGTTAAACAAAATGCCTAAACATTGTACGGAATGAAATTATACGATTGGATTTATACGAATTTACAAATAACTATCGGGTCAATTTTTGAAAAGAGAGAAAATATAAGGGTCGATGTGCACTTTTAAGCTAAAATTATAATTAGGGTTTGAATCTTTGATTCTTTGTGATGCCAAACGGTGTCGTTTCACGGATGCGAGCTATATTGACTGTTCCTCGCACGCGCTCTCTCTGGCGACCGACCGGCGGGCGCTCCGCCGCAAGATCGCCGGATAAGTCTCCGTATCCGCCGCATCACCACCACGTTGCATAGGTGAGACTTTCATGCGGCTTTATTTTTTTGCTTAACGCAACGTTTTTCATCTGAATCCAACATTTGCGATGTTTCTGTCCAAATGCCTAGCACGATTTCTCAGTTCACGATGTTCCCTTGCTCCATGAAAAAAAATCGCAGTTTCTGAAAAATATTTTGTTGAAACTATCTTATCTTCTGTCTATAATCTACACTCTTAATGTTGTCGAGATCGATTTCATGTTGTAGAAACCTAATTAACTGCAGTAATGGTTGGGTTTGGTCAGCTTATCAAGCAGTATTTTAATGCAAAATGTTTCTGTAAGTCCTCGAGATCTCTCATCATCATGCCCTACACTGACATGAGTTATGTGGGTTTTGCATAGGAACCGATTATTGTGCTTCGAAATACTTGTTAGGGGGTAGTGTCGGTTTTGTTTCAAACTACAATTTGGCATTTTCCTGTTTGTCGTGTTCATGTTGATAGTCCTAAAGTGCTAATTTTTAAATCATCTCCACTAGGGTTTAGCTGATATAAGCTCGCCATTTGAATCTATCTAGATAGATATATGTATATTAAGTTTTAGATCATCTCCACTAGGGTTTAGCTGATATAAGCTCGCCATTTGAATCTATATATATATATAATGAGATTATTGCCACTATGCTGAAGTCACCCATGTTGGTTCAAGGGAGAATGACGAGGAGTTCACAACTAGGTTCACTATGTGTGGCCCATTAAAGATGGGGAATTCCTCATCTTCTCTGTTTATTTAATGTTATCTGGTTAAGGTTGAGGCTTGGTCAATCTCTTAGTTTAGTACGCTTAAGCGGGAACTAATATGCTCTCTATATAAAGGAAAAGGACATGATTAGATATAACTAAATCACTATTTAGGCAGTGATGGCAGAGATATATACCTGGTTTTTTCTAGTGTTAAAGATGATTATTCTAGGTGATGACAATGACACGACAAAGTAGGGAATGACATGGATTTTGGTTGTGATGTCTTTTTTTCCATCAGCTTCCACTTATCTAAAGTTATGTTTTAATGTGTAAGCATATCTTGTGGGCCTTCTCACCCAATGATTTATTTGTTTTCCTCTATTTTTTTCCCCTTCCTTTTGTTCTGTAAAATCGTAGCATGCCTTCTTCTTTTGTTTCGAGCTAAAATATGAAGTGAACATTCATTTAAGTTTCCAGCAATCCTCCTCCCGAGATTTTAAATCAGTGATTTCTGCGGAAAACACTCATGAACCCGCAAATCCTTATTCATGGTCTCCCCATGAAAACGAGAATCCTTGCTTTGGAACTATGTTGAAATAATCCTGGAGTTGAAAAGTCTGCTTTTTAACTGAATGGTTGGTAAAATTAATCGCATCAAAATTTGCCTTTTCCTGCTTTTGTGAGGGAAGATAACGAACTAGAGAGCATTGAGACTAAAATGAAACCCGTGGTGGTCCAATATGCCTGTTCATGTGCTGTGACTGTTAGTATCCACAAGTGGTTTCTATTGTTATTCTTTTTCTGATCTATCCCTCTCATTGTTTTCTTCAGTTGATGCACTTGCAGGTGATTAGTAAAGCATAGAGGCCCTTTTTTATCAAGGAACCCCACAAAGGCACAGCACTAAATCCACAGAAGAGTGGGTTGCAAGTTTTGTCACTTTCGTTTCACCACTTGGCAAATGGAAAATTCGTATATGCTTAGCTTCCCTTCTTATCTCGTACATGGTTTCACTGTCTTATTCTGAAACTTAGAAGTATTACCATCTAGCCTAAAAAATGGGAAAAAAAAGTCATCCGATATGATCAAAATTCCACATCATTGTTTTTGTCTAATACTAATATTATTCCTCGGTTGCAGGCTGAAAAACTCTCAGTGGTCTCTTGTTCATCCCATTCCTAGTTGTTACTTTCTGCTGGACTTCACTTCAACTTCACTCGATGCAGTGCCATGTAAGCAATGAACCGATAACCCACCAACATCAATGCCATGACAGACACGTCTATCCATAAACTGTTCAGTCCCATTGATTTAACGGCCGGGAAATCTCCAACTCTGCACCAAACTCCCTTTGAGCACTCATAGTAATCGTCATCACTGTACTGAACACCCAAAAGAAGCTTGTAGCAGTAATAGCTATAGCTCAGGTACTTGAGCCAGACGATGAAGGGAGGGATGTGTTGCACGTAGTACCCTCCGGCAATGAGAAAGACAAGCGTAGTGACGGATGCTAACGTTGTGGCTTGTTTAATGTTCATGAGAAAAGCTCCAAAGGCTAAGCCGAGACCTTGAGCGACAAGGACGTTGTAGAGAACAACCAGTAGTGAGAGGATAAATGTAGTGGGGTCAGGTTTGAGCCCACCCATCCAGTAAATTATGAACACAAACGCGGTTGGAAGTGCGAGTTCCAGGGGCAGGTCACCGATATTCCTAGCCATGAAGTATGAGGAAAGACGGTACATTCCGGAAGATCGTTCCTTGATTAACATTCTCTTCTCTTGAGGAAATGTGAAAACTGCGTTGTAGAGTGGGTAGAAGCCCCAAAAGACCGAGAAGAAGAATAGCAAGGCAACCTGTATTCATAGCTCCTTCATTAGCATCTCGAAAGATAGCAAGATGAATAAATGTAGGAGTCCGGTTAGATCATCAAGATTTTGTATTGTGGATCAAGAGATCTGAAGAATCATATGCATCTTTACGCAAGGATTCTGCCTTCAATCTGATTAAGGGAGGAGAAATAATAATTCAGGCTGTTCATTCTCTACTTAATTTTCATTCAGAATTAGAATCTTACTCTATCTTGAATGTGAGATTTTGGCGTGTGCCACCACAGAAGGCCGCCAAGAAAAGCCACACTGACGACTTGGAAAATTCTAAGCTTGTTGAATGATTCATATCTCCTCTCCCTGACCCCCCTTTGGAGCAGCACACTGAACTGGTACCACCAACTTGTGCACCATTGTTCTGGCTTGAAGTTGTTTCCTGCTTGATTTCAGAAAAGATGCATCATTTAACAGCAGTACAGGAGCAGGACAAAGCAAGTCTACTTGGAACACATTATCCCATGAGTAGGAACTAGGCGTTGTGAACTGGGGAGCGGAGAAAATTACCACCAGCTTTGGCATAGTCATTTCCATGCGATTCGGAGTTGCAGAGTTCAGCTTTCAGTTTAGTAGAAATGTTCTTCTCATAAGCTGAAACAAGGGCTTCTTTCACTGTCTTTTGCTCTTGCTCCGAGTTCTCTGCTTGAGAATCAGGTGTGATTCCTGTAATTTTCACGTTTTGATGGATAACAAGAAAGAGGTGGTGGTTAGGGAGACAATTACAGATGACAAGAAAGGGTTCTCATCCGGTTTTTTCTTGATCTAGAAGTAGAAAAGAAAGGAAGAATTACCATTAGCAAGGTCAAGTAAGAGGTCAGCTGGGTTGACTGTCATGGAAGTGGAGAACCCGACAGAGCTGAAATACTCAAGGGCTGAAGATGCAGGGCCGTAGTAAATGGGGCTACCTTCAGACAGCAAAACCACCTTGTCGAACATGTGGTATAACCGGCTCGACGGCTGGTGAATGGTGGTGATAACTGTTCTTCCTCCAGAAGCTAGCCGTTTGATTGTGGTCACAATACGTTGAGCAGTGGTCGAATCAAGACCAGACGTCGGTTCGTCGAGAAGGAGCAAACTCGGGTTGATCAGCATTTCTTGACCAATGCTGACCCTCTTTTTTTCTCCTCCTGATATTCCTCTGAACAAGGGCCCTCCAATCATGCTGTTTTGGCACCGAGTCAATCCCAGTTCTGTAATAACTCGGTCCACATGATCAGCCTTCTCATCCCTCGTCAAGCTGCTTGGTAGACGCAGAAGTGCAGTGAAGAAGAGGGTTTCCCAGACAGTGAGGTGAGGGTACAGAATATCATCCTGGGCGACAAAACCTGTTCTGCGCTTGATGGAGCCGGAAAAAGGCAAACCATTGTATGTGATTTTCCCAGAGAAAGTTCCAGAGAGACGCCCTCCAAGTGCTGAAAGAAGAGTGGTTTTGCCACTTCCTGATGGACCTAACATCGCCAATATCTCTCCCGGGCAAACCATTCCCGTTATGCCATTCAAGATCCTCTTCTCCTTGCTGCTCCAGGTACCCCAGCACGAACCCTTCTGCTCAATCTTAACTTTGTAGACAATCTCCTCAAACTGTCCACAAGAAAAACCAATGGCAGGAACCAGGTATCATTAGATTGAACTTTCCATCTGGTAAAACAGTGATCACACAATTAACACAAAACTTGATGAAACCGAAAAAGTACAAGACGGTTTTTTTTCTTCTGATTTTCAGGTAGAGAGAGGCACCTTGAGAGTTATCGGGTACAAGGTTTGCTGGAAACCAGGTTGTGAATTGGCCATGATGGGGAAAGCCAGTACGGCCTTGTCCTGCATCTCTGACTTGTCCGCCTGACCTTGTGCCAGGCCTCCGCCATTTTCTTCAGGTCTTGGTGCTATGCAGTTCTGAGGCATGATGGTTCGTGGTGGCAAATTATGGAGAGGCTTATACGATGATGGAAGAATGATATCGGAGATACACCAAAGGAGAGAGTTGAGGTTAGTGGAGTTTCTCTCTTCACACCTTTGCTAACTTTGGCTTGACTCCTTCAAAGTGAAACCCTGTAAGCACATAAATATATAGTACTACCGAGAAGAGACCACTCACACTTAGAATTTCTCCTGTTTGCAAAAAGGAGAGAGAGAGAGAGAGGCTTTACGATGTTGGCCGATCAATCGTCTATGGTGGGTTCCCACCTTCACTCCCCTCCCTTCCTTTAAATTATTCTAAAGCTAACCTTTACCAAATATTTATACCTATCTCTTCCTTTGTTCCATTTATCAGAATCTTACCTCTAGTTCAGTTTTTTTTATTAATCAGCACCCTCCTTGACCCTTGTGGATTCTTACGCGTGTGAACTGTCGCTTTACGCCGTTAACAATTCTAAAGTTGAGAAATTCTGCAGATATAGTGAGTTCCAATGCTTCTAACCGTATGATGTGATTGCAGACAATCAGAGGCTTTTAGCCGTTGGAGGACCAACTCGTGGACTTTAACCTGCTCGAGCGATATATTAAACAGGTAAGGCCTTGAACTATTTTCACATAGAGAAGAATAGTGGATTCGATACGAGCCGTGGCTGGAGAAAATGATTGAATAGAACCGAAAATGGAAAAGAGAAAAGCTGGGAGGGAAATGGGTTTGCATAATACATGCACAATAATGATGCTTTCCACCATCCAAAACTAAAATTGCCTTGATCACAACAGCAGATGCAAGTGGGAGGAAGATCCTCGAGATCTTTCAAAAATAGTATATGTGTGTTATGGGGTTTTCAGTGTCACATGCCATTTTCTTCACATAACATAGTTTCCTTTTTTAATATATGAATATCTCTCATATCATTTCCTATATTGTCTGCATTACCACGCTTCATGTGCTCATGTTGCCTGCATGTGAAACATTTTCTTTCCCCACAAATCATTTTTCTTCTAACCAAAAGAACATTTTGTTTTGTTTTTTTTTTTAAACCAATAGATCTGGTCGTAGATATATACCCTCTTCACATCATTTAGGATTTGATTTGTCTTCTTCTTTTTTTTTTCCATCACACATGTGAAAACAAGTTTCCAGCACGCCAGTCTTAAGCGTGATAATAAGACAAACCCTTTTACTGTGTCATGTTGCTTTTGGTCACCATTTAGTTAAATCTTTTCAAAGCTTCAGTTTTTTTTCTTTCTGTGTATGTTGTTATGTGCTTTTAATGAATATGAATAGAAACAAGAATTCGTATTGCCAGTCTTAAATAAACTTGGGATTGATCATGGCGATGTTGATGTTGATGTTATTCTATGCAAATACCATTATTATATGCAGTAACCTTCATTCACTTGTGCTATGAGAAAAGCTCATATTGATGTGAGAAGAGAATATAACTCCTTGGCCATGAATAATAGTTTAGCACAAAGCCATACAAATAACTTGGATTATTTTCCACATGCATTGTCCTCAATCTCGCACTCTCACTTGGATATTCCTCCATGTCAAATATATATGAAATTTTTTATAACTAAACAAACCATATCACTCTCTTTGCAGATAATCTATCTATTTATTTGGTTCCTTTTTTGGTTTTTTTTCAACAATTTTTGGGTTGATACATGAACAAGTAGTATAATTGGGGAAGTCCCACCTCAATTTTTGGGTTCGATTCTTTCTGAGATCTGAATTTTTATTTGAACCGGTCAGTTTTGGTTAGAGTTACTCCACGTGGTTTTCCGGCTATTGCACGGAGTCGGGGGTTGACTGTTCGAGATGTCGTCCGGCCTGTGGTGTGGAACGGTGTTTGGCCCAAAAGACTGTGAGATGGGTTTTCCAACAAGTAGTATAATTCTATGTTTATTTGTGAAGCAGCTACATAGTAAGTTGCATGAACTCTCTTATATTTTACGCATAATAGTTATATTTTCGTTTCCTGCAGAAAATGACTCGATTCATGCAATGGTATCTGTCACCAGCTTTCGTGAGAACTCGAAATTCTTCAGACAGAACAGCAGAGCCATGTCGGAGCTGCATTTATGTCTCTCCTAATTTCAGTATAAAACGAATAAATAAAAGCTCCGGGTTTATTCTCTACGGAAGAACACTATGCTCCATTGCCTTTGTTTTTATTTATTTATTTATTTATTTTATTCTTCTCTTACAAAAAGATAGTTGAAATGATTTAAATCTAAAACGAGTATTGATGATGTTAGCGATTCGAACATTGCTTTGATGATTTTGAAGAAAGAAATAAGTGAAAAAACTATTATATTATTTGTAAATAATGTGTACATACACGAAATATTATTCCCAAAAGTTTCGATTCTTTGGTATTTTAAATTTATTTTTTAATAATATATAATAATGTGGCAGATCTCAGTGTCTGCTGATCGAGTCAAAGTTGTAGAGGGATTAAACTAATCTAGGCTTTGAAATATAATAATAATAATAATAATAATAATAATATTGAGTGATGTAGCGTTGCGGTTACGAGCATGTGATTACCCAATTTTTATTATCGAGAATTCTTTTCCCCTGTATTTATTCTTCGGTTATATGGAAAGAATATTAACTCCTTCGAAGAGTGGACCGACATAAGCGAGCCGAGACGATATTAGTTATAAAAAAAAAGGAATTTAAATAATTCTGCAATAGGGCAAAGGAGATCGTAGTATAAGATGATAGTGAAAGCATTAGATTTAGATCCTCCACCTCACCCCTCCCGTGGAAAATTCCAATTCTTTTGTTCTTTTATTTATTTTTATTCACTTCAATTCAAAACCTACTTGTCTAGGAGATTTCTTTTTTCTGTGTTTGAGTAATTTCAACAACCCACTAGCTAGTTTGTCTTAAAATGAAATATATATACACACATATATATATTGTTTTAAATATTTATTATGGTAATAAGCCTTTTTAACTTTCATGTGACAATATAATATAAGAGTACACATAACGCTCCATTGGACCGTTTATACGAGTTAGAATAAATTTTGTAACGAAGTTGTCCAAAATAATGGTCATATGAATAACAAAAAAAAACATCAAAGCACAAAAGTAAAAATTGTGCACTTCTTGAACCAAGCCAATCAAAATTTGAGACACACACACACACACACACACACACACACATATATATATATATATATATATATATATATATATATATATATACTGAATTATCAATGAATGATAATTTTGTTAAGATTAAGGAAATATTTGTGAGAGGGACTTCTTCCTTTCATTTTCAATTTTATTCGGATTTGGACCATTTAGTTATAGGAAAAAATAATAATATCTTTTCTTTTTCCATTCGTTTCTTCTATGCTAAAGTACTGCCAACACTCGAATCCTCCAAATGAGATACGACCATTATGTGATCGCATTATTTAAATATCTAACATATCATACATACATACATATATACATACATTTTTTTATAATATGGAAGTTAGTCGCGTTTTTGACCCAACTAAATTTTCCAGATGACCGAAAAAACCCAGATGAATACCTCTTCTCACGCTTGAGTTTGAACCCAATAAAAACATACTTTACATCTTCTCTTACTACTAAATTACCCAAATTTGAGTCATATATACATACATACATATGTGTGTGTGTGAAAATTAGCATAACATATTAAAAAAGAAGATTACAATTTATGTGGACGTGAGATTAGATGTTGCAGATCAACTTTTCTCCGCTATTCTTTCTGTCTATTTCTTTTTCTTTGTATATATGTATGGGGTTATATATATATACACACACCTCTCTTATACATCTACTTAATTAATTTGTATAGATTCGTATTAAATTCAATATTCTCACTTTGGAGATTGAATTTTTCGGAGATAACATAAACAAGAGCATCTTACTTATCTTGATGAGGGAATAATGAATATACATACTTATAATAGTTTTATATATTATTCTTTTTTTCGCTTTAAATTTATATATGTAGTATATATATATATATATTAGATCTCTATGCAGAGAGCACTCGGATCTTTGAGTGTATATGGGCTCCAAGTGGAACCAGGCTTTTCTTTTCAATTTATTATTTTCCCTTTTTATTTATTAATTTCCATAATTTTCTTTTTTTATGTAATTTAATTCTGTGGGTTGTAAAGTCTTTCTATTTCTAAAGTTTTAGGAAACTTTTATTAAAAAAAAACGAATAGTCTTTGATGCGCATCCTTCGTAAAGGGCACATCTTGTTGGCCTCAATTTGCATATATATATATATATATATATATATATGTGTGTGTGTGTGTGTCCGTACAACCGTTTCTTGTGTTCTCCTTGTCGACGTTGAAATATTGGAAGATCGTAACGCCCATAACGCACAATATACATCTCAATTTACGCTTCACGACATTGGCGAAACTTTTTTTTTCCTCTATCTTATAATTTACTTATCATTGAACAAAACATTTAATTATTCGAATGAATTCTAAGGGAACGATTTTATATGAATAAAATCAGCAATTAATTATATTAAATACCCATTTATAGATCGAACTATAAGCCAAACAAGATTATGTTTGATTTGAGTTTGTTTTCGGGATTTGAAAAATGTGGAATTAAATTACAAATAAATTGATCAATTCTCATTATTGAGATTTTTAGATTAGGGTTTGAGTTTTAGTTAGTAAGATAAGAACAGACAAATGGTCGTTTGCACCCAAATGTTTTTATATTTTATGAATTATACTAATCATAATAAATTCTTAAACGTTGTAATTAAGATTCCTTTCCCGAAAATGATTGTAAGATTCCTTCCATATTTTTTTTTCCGTAACAGACAGTTAAAACTTCATCTAAATTCTAAAACTCGAACCTAATTACATAAAAATAATATTTTTACTGTATTAGTAACTCGTTGAAGTGAAATCCATGCATTTTAATTGTGTAATAAATAGAAAATAATAGTCAAGACAAAAAATTTACTCTAGTAATTAAATATGTCTTATTAAACTCGAAAATTAATTTACATTTCTCTAGATCGAGGACAATTCGATTGTATCGAGATGTTTGGTTTGTATATAAATTTGTTCTTTGAATCTGTTTTTATATAATAAAAAAGACCGGATAATTATTAAATAACTAGAATTAATAAGTTAAAACTATTATAAGCTTGATTAATTAACTTCATACCATACGATTATACTTTTGTTCCTTCCAAACCATATGATTATACTTGTGAAACAAAAACATATAACCAAAAAAAAAACATATAAATTTAGGAAATAACCAAAAAAGGGGGGAAAGATAATTAAAGATAAGAAATGAAAAATTAAATAGAGATGGTGAGTCCAAAAATGTCATTTAGCGAGTTCAAGATTTAGTTGGGAAGTCGACACGTGGCAAGCACTCCGATCTTCTAATGGGCGCCGGTTCTCATGTCCGGTCGTGATTTTTTTTTTTTAATTATTCAATCAATCATTACTCTTTTTTTTTCACCTTTTTGAGTGGACCGGACCCACCCACTCATTATATTTCAGCCATTAAAATTTAATTATATACATTATAATATATGTGTGTACACAGGCGAGTATGTTTTGATTGCCACTAAATCATGCAATACATAGAACATTAATAATAAATCATGTACATTAGTACAAATATGTTACATATTAAATTTTCTCTCATGTAAAAAAGTATTCTCTTGGTAATTTTTTTTAGTGGTTATAAAATATTTTGATTGAAAAGAAAAATGTCACAAGTCATTTACCAAACATAAGTCAATAATTGTTTTTCGGAATTTTATACATTATTGTTTTTGTTTAAATATGCAAGAGTAAATGCGGTCTATCACATAGAACATATAACTAAATATCGTGTTGAAGCAATGATGGGGACGTTGAACACTTTTTGTACTTTTATTGTCTATACGTATCGACTTGTCATTGAGTCGTTGTATTATATTGGTGTTGATTTTAGTTTCAGATAATCATTTTAAGATTGGCCACAAAAAAAATAACAAAAAATAAAATAAAATAATCACGTTTAAGATTAATTCACAAGTCTATTTTATGCTTGTGTATGTATTTAATACGTGCATGTGTATGTACGCATGGTATATATATATATATAACCAATTATAAAGTTGTAGATTAATGTATGTAATCCCCGTGACAATATAAGTCCACCCAATTTGATCTCCCAACCTTTGCTTTGGTAAGCAACAAAGTACTAAATTTAAGTAAACTTGCTCCGATCCAACTTGATGCATTAATTATTAAGTTGGCTTAAAAAGATGAATTTAATTAGGTCATATAATTTATCTATATTATCATAATATATGGTATATTGATATAATAAATTATCCTCTCTCTATACACACACACACACACACGTATATATACATATATATATCATGGCAAGTCCTTTTTTTTTGTTATTCTTCATCTATTTAGTAATATGCCTATAATGTTGAGCGTGTTAATTACGTGTGTTGGTTTATAGTTAAAGTTATCTCATTAATTAGGTGAAATGAGCTTTCAACTATAATTTTCCTATTATGGTAATAATATTTCTAGAACATTGATTGTTTGGAATCCAAACAGAGAAAATCTTTTTTCATTTATTGAGCTTTATGTAGTCAAATTATACAAATACAACATCTTTCATTTGACCGTTTTTTTTTACTGCAGTAATAATAAAATTTTGCGAATGTTCAATATAATTTTACAGAGTTTTTTTTTAAATTTACCTAAGATTTTCAAAGTGTGTATGCGTGTGCGTGTGTGTGTATATATCTATACACACACATATGGGTAATGAAATTAAAACAAAAAAAAAAAAAACACGCGTGGAAAGTAGAAAATTGGTGGGATGCAATCTTCAATTTGCAAAGGAGCACTTGTGAGATCACAAATTGCCACAAGCCAAATCCATCATCATCCTCTCTCTCTCTCTCTACACACACGCACATATATAAGATGTTTCTTAACTCAAATTTTCTAAGTTATCTTCGTCCGCATCATCTTTTCATCCTCAATAATAATTTTTTACTGTTTTTTAAAAGGTAAATAATTGAAGGATGATGATGATTAGATACCACTCTCTGTAAGACGTTTGTACTGATTGGTTAATTTTTTTTACTCGGTCTTCTGCGTTCGACACATCAAAAACCTTTATTTGTA